CCCCCCCCCAGTCGATCCTTCATCAATGTCCTATACTCCTCGTTACCTCCCTCCTGCTTACCCCTCTTTTTTCTTTGGTAGATCCCTGAGAAGCCTAGCGAGCAGGTGGAGAAGGTCCTCCTCCCCCTCATTTCTTTTAAAACATTTTACGAAGATGTTATCGCGCAGGTAGGCTCTTCAATGCATAAAGAGGAATCATTCTTCATGGAGATTCCCCACCCCACAGGGAGAAAATCCCATTACAGGATTATACTTCCCCCTCCCCGTCCTTCGCGTTCTTTCCCCTTCCCACAGACCATTATCGAGGATATCATATCAAGAATCATCGATCGGATAAACGACTACTACCTTCAAGAGGTACACTCACCTCGGGGGAGAGGAAAAAGAGACAGCTGCTTTCCAGAGGGAGAACTAACATGTAGTTTGCTCTTCCCCCGAATGTGCTGCGTCATCGCCGCTTCACCTTTTCCACTGCTTCTTCCCTCCCCTATACCCTCCTCACTCACCAGATAAGGAACCTCATTAATGTCAAAATTGATGAGCAGAACAAGGGCATCATGAAGCTCAACCTGGGGGAACCCTTAAAAGTTAGACGATCGAGGCGGCTTCTGTTAGCACTCCCCCCTGTATGGACGTGCAGGGGGAGGGAGACGATTGTTTGTATCTTCTCTTCCACCTGACCTTCCCGTGAGGAAAGACGCAAACCTAGGCGCAACCTCGTCTCTGGTGACTGCCATTCATTTTCCTTCTGCGACTTTCCACCCCCTTAACCGAACCTTTCTCAGGATGGGGACACCCCGTACGAGGAAAAAATAAGGAGGCAAATTCATTTGGTACAGTTTTTTTTTTTTTTCTAGTCAATCTGTGGACGCACTTTTATTAGTTGGAGATACTCCTGCACGTTGTTCACCCCTCCAACATGTCATTCACCTGAATGCAGTGAATACATCCTTCTCATGCGCATATCCACCTCCCCCTCTCTTCAGGACGTTTGCCACTATGCCAAAATGTGCGAGGAGAACTTCAAAATAAACGCAGAAACGAGCGCAAGCATGAACGCATTAGTAAGTCACGCGTCATTTAAGGAGTAAATTTTCCGAAGCGGAATGAAACGGAGACGATTCTCGCGAGGTTGTATTTTACACGTGTTGCATACGTTGTAGGTATGTCGAAAGTCCCCGTTACGGGATGATCCGTTTTTTCCTTTTTTTTTTTTTTTTTTTTGTAATGAAAGAGAAATACTACTCCTCCCTGTATTAAACGCCTTCGGGGTTGATGTGCCCCCTTTTCTTTGTTCACCTTTCCCTGTTTGGTGACATCGCCACGTCATTCTGTGGCATCTCACCCCATTCTGTCATATCGCCACGTCATTCTGTGGCATCACCACTTCGCATAAGCACCTCCGTCGCGAAAAGGGGAGGAAAAAAGACCCTTTTGGAAGGAGTTACCCCTGAGAGCAGCCTCACTAGGACACTCCCCCAACGTGTCGCATAAGTATTGCATAGATTGTGAATGCTGTGCAGGAACAGAGGTTGGCCCTAAGCAAGTGGTTTCTCTTTTTTTTCTCTTTTTTTTGTGACTCCCTATTGTGCATTCCCGAAAGGGAGGAAAAACAGTGCGGTTGACACCCCCGGAGAGTGGGCCATCCGTGGGTGTATACAAAAGAAATGGACTAAGCGAGATCAGTTTGTCCAAATGGGCCCGTCCAAATCGGCTTCTTAAAATCGGCCTGCTAAAATCCGCCTGACAAAGCGACACGCACTTAGGGCGAGGAACGAACAGGAAGGGCACCAGCAAAATGGAGGACATGTGTCCACTGGAAAGAAATTCCTTCCCCCCGGATGACAGCGTGGGGAGGACCAAGGAGATAGTAAAGCACCTGAAAAAATGCCCCCTATTTTTAAAGGCTCTCTATCTTCACTACAATCCATTCTGCTTTCCCAGCATAAATGACACGAGTAGGTACCTAATGGACAAAGAGGATGTCGAAGCTGAGCTGAACCGATACTATGTCGCATTCAATGAAACCATCCTCCACATTTTAAAAGAAAAAATAACTATCACTAGCTTCAATCAGTTTCACACTCTTAAGCATAAAATAATTTTCGAGCGATTTTTAAATCACGGAGTGGAGGAGTTGCTGTGCAGGCTTCGGGACGACGCCTTTTTGAGAGCGCTGCAAGGAGAGGTAGCGGCGGGGGTAACAGAAAAGGGGGAGCGAAATGGTGAATCGCCAACGGAGCACCCCCCCGAGGGAGATCCCCATTTAAGCACTGCCAACCGGTTCTTGGATGGCCACATCGCCACAGTGAAGAAGTTGATATACCATTTGAGGGAAAATCCACAGCGGAAGAATGGAAAGCACTCCTTTGTAAAGGAGCACCCGGGGAAGTTATCCCCCCATTGCAAACTAATACAGACAGAGGAGGGAAACACTTGTGGTGCCGATGCGGTGAACACAAATGGGAGGGGAAGCAATCCCAAGGAGAAACACCCACTGCCCATTCTCACCCTCAAAAACATCGGGAACATCCACAAATATCGACTCTGCCAGGAGCTTCTACAATTTATAGACAAGGAGGTATTCCCCCTGAAAGGAAAAAATGAAGAAGAAAACATCGACAAGGCAGATACCATCACGGAAGAGCAAGTGATTGGGAGAGAAAACCTCGACAGAGACGAAGTGATCAGCATCGTCATATACACAGTCATTTACCTATGCTGCAAAATGAGCATTATCAAAAGATTAAAGAATAAAAATTTTCATCACAAAAATTGCCTGAACAGTTCAGCTAAAAAATCGATATTTTTTTTTTTGGAAAACTTAGACAAACATGACTTACAAAATGTGAACCTAATGTTTTTGCTTCTCCATTTTAACGACAATTTGTTGGGGATCTTCGAACGTATGTTTAATGAAGGAGGATGGAATGGAAGGGAAGGCACCTCCCTCAGGGACTACCTCTTTATCGAGCTGGGTGCCGGGAAAGCCAACACGACGCGATGGGTCAAATTTATTATGGACGACTTGGTCGACATTTTGGAGAGGTTCCTTATGCGTAGGGGTAAGCGGCGGGAAGATGGCGTCGGGGAAAGGGCAACCCTGACTGGAGAAGAAGTGGACAGCCAAGCGGGGGAGCGAACAACCAACACGATGGAGCAGTCACCCGGAGCAGTGGAACCACGGGAGAGGTGCAAACTTCTGATCATCGAGAGGGAATCACTGAGGAACAAGAAGGAAAAAAAAAACTTCCTTATGCAAATGACCCAAGAGAAGAGCCAACATCTGATCAGAGTAAAGGCAGACATCTCAGACTTCCATTTGTTAAAATTTATGCACTTTTCAGAGAATAGCTTCAAAGGGGAAGGAACTTCCTCCGCTGTGGCCTCTTCCTCGGCCGCGTTCATTCCTGACATCATTCAGTTTTACTACTACAAGGGGGTGTACAATTGGAGGGGGGGCGTTCCCGTGACGGATAACCTGCAGGATCCCACGCGGGATGACGAACAAGACAGGGGTCCTCTACCCTCAAGGGGTGATCAAATCGACGACCCGCTCAGAACGGACCAACAGCCTAAAGATGGAGGTGCCCCGATAACGGAAGCGTTCCTGCGAAACAACCTGTCTCAGTTGGGCACCTACTTCGATGTGCACGTAAAGAAGCTCTTCTCCTTTTTGACCCAGGGCAATAACAACCTCTTGAGGTCCGTGAGGGGGGAGGCGGCGCCAGGAGGGGTCAGGCGCATGTCACTGCGGGGGTAGATGTGTATATGGGCATATGCCTATATGTATATATGCCTATATGTGTGTATTTGTTTATATTTCTCTATATGAAATGAGGTGATGAGCAAACCTGCCAAGGGCACTCCCTTCTCCCATTTTCTCCTCTTCCTTCCCCCCTTTTTTTTTTCTCCTTTTTGCAGAGTTTACGATGACATGAATAACTTCCTCAGAAACTTCGACTGCAAAAAGGTGACATTTCTAACGAAGCACTTGTGTGGTAATGGCACGGACTTAGCTCTTAGGTAGGTGGAGATAGGAAGGCGGTTACCCCCCTCCCCCCCTGCCATCTCCTTGGCAGTATGAAGACGGGAGAATTGCAGGGGAGTGATTCCTTCATAGAAGCCTCACCCAGGGTAACCTACCCCATATAATGTTACATCCGTTTGAATGCACCCTCCCCCCCGTCTTTTCCTTTATAGAATGCTCGTGAACAGCTGCAAGAAGGACAAGGAAAATTACTTCATTCTCGCCCCGTGTTGTCACCATAGGTATGGGGGAAGGCATAACAAGTTGTCTTCAACTAGCAGTTTAGCTCCCCCTACCCAGACAGGTGTGTTAAGCGGTACACCAACTTATCATCACCTCGTGCACTTTTTCTTCTTCTTCTTCAAATGCAGATGTGAGGTAGACAAAATTTTGGGCTTTAAGCTTCTAACCGAGTTGGGCATCAATCAAGAGCACCTGCAACACGTCGTCAGACACATGTCCGGGTGAGTCCAGCTGCCCCGTCGCCGCCCACAGATGGGCAAGAGGAGAGAAAAAATAGAAAAAAAATAGAGAAAAAACACAGCAGAAGAAGATCAAAAAGAGAGCAAAAGGAGGGAAAATTATCCCAAAAAAGAGCGCCCTAGGAAGGGGGCCCCTAAATGGACCTCTAAACGGGCCTACTAATGGGCCTACTAATGGAGAGCCTCCCTCCCCGTGCACCCGCAGCTACGCCTCCTGTGATAACCACGCGAAGAAGACCATCGGGAAGAAAGTGAAGCTTCTCGTGGACCTCGCCAGGTGGATATCACCCCCCATAAGACGCCGGTGCAGCGCGTGATGGCAAGGCAGTGTGGCAGATGTCGCGACACCGGTGCATGATTTGTTATCGCCCCCTCCCTGCGCATACACACATCGCGGTGCGCACCCCCTCCCCCGCGCAGGATCCTGCACCTTCTGGACGAGGGACTACAGCACGTGTACCTCATCAAATATGTTATGCGAAGTATAACGATAGAGAACCACGCAATCGTCTTTTTTAACCATCGGAAGTTGGACTTGCGAAATTTCAGGCACGTGTAAGGGGGGGGGGGCCCAGCGTACAGGAAAGAAAAGGCACGGGTCGTAGCTTGTGGTAGCGCATGGTAGCTGCTGGTAGCAGTTCGTAGCAGGTGGGGTTCCCTACTATCCGATGAATGGCCGAAAGGAGAGCCACCTCAGGGTGAAGCGCTGCAGGCGGATGTGCCACACAGGGAGGCAGCTTGGCTCCCTCCTCCGCCACTACGCCTGTTACACCTCCTGGCGGTAGCGCGAAATGTCGAGCGTGACCGTGCGGGAACACTTCTTATGCTTGTTTTTGTACACCCCGATGAGGGTCTGACTCTTGCTAAAAAACTTCTCTTTCAAAGAAATGACGATAACTTGGCTGTTAATAGAATTGAGATACCTGGCGAGGGCACTCATCTTAATGGGATCCATATTGGCATCAACTTCGTCCAAAATGATAAAGGAGTTACTTATATATTTCTGAATGGAAAAAATGAGTGCCAGTGCGCTCATGCTCTTTTCTCCACCGCTTAACTCGCTGATCTCAAAGAAACGTTTCATGGGTGGCATATTATTGTATCGAATGCCACAGTAAAAGGGTTCATCATCCTTATTGAATTCGTTCAGATTAAAGAGATCCAGAAAAGCTTGCCCTCCCACGTGATGCTTCACACTGTATGTTAGATTATTATACACATTGTCGATGACATTCTTTATGTAGTTAAAACAGTGGAGAAACTTGTATGATCTTTTTTTTTGTAAAATGCGAAAGTTTCGTTCGAAGAGATTACATTCCTTTCGCTCATTTGAGAGAGAAGCATCGATAAGTTTCAATTTGGAGATTAATTGTTCATACTCTTTTTCGGCACTTGTGTTTATGTTCCTCATTTTGAGTAGTTTTTTTTTCTTTTCGATTTCTTTTTCAAGCTTCTCCCGCTCTGTATTGATTTCCTGTTCGTTGTCCATTTGTTTCAGCTCCTCTGGGAGTGCGTCGAAGGAGATGTTGGCCAGAGTGAGGTCTATCTCTTCTTCGTCCTCGTCTTCCTCGTCTTTGTCTTCTTTATCTTCTTTATCTTCTTCGTCTTCGCTACCACTACCCCGAGTACTGCTCCCGCTGGCGGCGCTCCCCCCGTCCGAGTCGTCCTCCTCGCTTCCCTGCAGGAGCTTGCTCACGCGGCCCTTGCGTGTACGCCGCGTTGTTCTGTGCCGGGTTTGGGCCTTCCCACCCCGCTCATCGGCAATCGCGTAACTCGCCGCGAACACATTGACGCCATTCATGTCGCACTCGCTGATGAGGTCCTTCACCAGCGTGACGTAAATTAGAATCTTCTTGCGACAGTTATCCACCTTGCTCTGCATCGTCTCATACTTTTCGAAGTTCCCATTTATTCGATCTCGCAGGTCATTGAGCTCTTGGTTGATTTGGACCAGATTCTTCAGATGAGTGTCCCGTTCGATGTCTCTCTCCCGAATGACGTTTTCCGTTTGGTGCATTTTATCCATCTGCTCCTTCTCCTCCTCATTCAGTTTGTATAGATCCATTTTGATAGTCTCTTCCTGTTTTGCGGCCTTCTCCTTCTTGTGAAATAGTTGAATTTCGTTTCGTTTGTCTGTCAGTTCGTTAATGTCGTCATTTAGCTTCTTTATGTTGTTCTTTATGCGATCAATGTGATCGTCTATTTTCTCCATTTCCTTTGAACTCCTTTCAATGGCCTCGTAAATATTTTCCATCTGGAACCTCTCATTTAGTATTTTAAAAGAATCCTTCTGGTAAGACGCCAATCCTTTTCGCTCTTTCAGCAGCTCCGATTCGTAACTCTCTAGACTATCAATTTTTTTCTTCATCTGTACGTTCTTTATTTTTTCAATCCTGTCTTGATAACTCTGTATGGTGGCTTGTTTTCCTTCAACTTCTTTCTCGAAGATCTCCTTCTTTATTAACAAACTAGCTGCCTTTTTCTTATTTAACTCTAGTTCGTAATTCGTTTTGTTAATCTGTTCATTCGTCTGAATGACCTTCTTATTGCAGTCGCTGATGATGCTTCGACATTCCTCCTTCTCATTGAGGATCTTATTATACATGCTGATGTTGAGTCTCCTGTTACTGTATCTTTCTTTGTCTCCGTGTGTGGATGATATGTCGACGATTAGATTGTTATTCTTTGATACGATGTGTCCATTTAGTGTCACCATGTTTGCATTCAGATGTGGGAACTTGCTTCTCACCTCCTCTGCGTCTTTTATCCGTTCCACGATCAGTGTGTTTGTCCCTATGAGGTAGTCAAATAGGATCTTAAACTGCTCGTCGCACACGAGACAGTTGTTTGCCAGAACGATGTTCTTCTTCTTAAATGTATTCATTACTTTTTCCATCATTTGATGGTCTTCCTCGTGCCAAGTCTCCTCCGAGGGGTCCTCCCCCCCGAAGGAAGCGTAGCCGGTAAAGCCTTCATTCCCCTGTGGGGGTCCTTCCCTATGTGTACGCTGACCCCTCCTGCGCTTCACATGTTTGACAAAATCCTCCATAGGAATGAAATCCATCTTGTGCACCTTATTGTCCTTGAGGTAGCGAATACATTTCGCAGCGACGTCCACATTTTTTACCACCAGGAAATTGTTATACTTATGAATCGCATTATTAACCGCAGTGAAGTAGACGTGATTGCTGACCTCGTAGAGGGAGCTGACTTCGTCATATATCTGGTCCTCCCCGAAGAGATTCTTCATATTGGAGATGATTTCCTTTTTCTTCTCAAATTGGATTAGTTCATTCTTGTGCACATTTAATATGTTCACTTCGTTGTCCAGCTGTTCTATACGTTTCTCCTTCTCTGAGATGGTCTGGTGGAGCTCTCTCAAGTGTGCCTTCATCTTTTCCACCTTCTCCTTGTCTCCCTCGATCAGGTTACTCAGTGTGTTTACTCGGCCGCTCAATTCATCCATGGTGAGTTTCTCCGCCTCGTAGTCAAGTACCTCCTTCTGCTTCTTCCTACCCAGATTATCGCACTCCTCCTGGAGCTCCTTTATGTCCTTCTTCAGCGCGTTGGCTAGCGTGTTGTAATTGTTTATGCTGATATTGCTGTTGGCGCAGAGGTAGAGATATTTCTCTTTGCACTTTTTATACTCACTTAAGTTCTCGATCAGATCTAACAGGTTGCATTTCCGAAATAGGGATTCTTCCTCCTCACTTAGGGCAGAAGCGTTCCTATCGTTATCTTCTCCACTGCTTAGACGAAATGCCCGCTCAACCTTCACGAGGTTATCATACATCGTTTTGTGCCTCTCCTGGATGTACCTCTTCACACGGTCGTATTTTTCCATAAACTTTACGATGACCCCCAGTTTGTTTGACATTTCTCCTCTCAGCTTCTTCGTCTGTTCCTTCACCTGTTCGTTGAGATTTTCGGAAAACTTCGTGCAATGTGTCTGTATGTTCATTTGTAGCTTCTGATTGGCTAAGACTTTGGTGAGGGAGTCCTGATTGAATTGCTTTTTCTCATTAATCTCGTTGAGGGTGACTTTCAATCGGTTTAGTTCGACACGGTAGTTTCTAATCTCGTCTTCTATTTTAAGGAGACTTTTCTTTGTCAACAGTTTATTTTTCTCCAAATGGTTAGCCATATCTTTGTCCTTGGAGAGAACCTCTTGCTCGAATTCGATTTTCTCCTCCTTATAGGTAAGTAGATCCTCCTTTAGCTTTTCCTTTTTCCTATGGAGGTGATACAGTCGGAAAAGGTAGAAAGTTTTTACGTCCTCTTCGTGTTCCTCTTTCAATTGGTTCTGCTCAATATTATCACTGATCTGCATTTTGTGTATTTTAATTTCTTGTTCGATTTTTTTCTTTTCATTGAGATAACTCTTGCAAGTCATCTGTTTCTCCTTTAGCTTTTCCTTCATGTCTTCATAAACTTGTTCGTACTCATCTGACCCGCTAATGTATTCGAACAATTTGGCTAGTTCGTTTGGTTTCTTATTTATTATATCTTCAATGTCTCCCTGGAAAATTAGACATGTCTTCGTTTTCGTTTCTATCCGATTCTTCTTCAGAAATGAAAGGTATTCCTTATACTCCACGGGCTTCTCATCGATGTAGTAGCTACTCCCTCCTCTGTAATTTAACGTCCTCTTAACTTCAACACTCTCTTTGTTGCTTTCTAGGACAAGTTTCACATAACACTTCTTCCTCTTAAGTATCTCCACTTTTTCGTTCTCCTTGTGATGAATCAAATGTTTCATGCTTCTCACCCTAAGGCATTTATTATTTATTCCTAGAACGAAGCATATACAATCCATTATGTTTGACTTGCCTGACCCGTTTGGACCTATTATCGCTGTGAATTTGGAAAACGGCCCGATGATATTTTCCCCTTCGTAACTCTTAAAATTACACACCACTAGGTACTTTATCGAGCAGAGGTCATTTTCTCGATATGCCATGCTGGACGCCATGCTGCTGTTGTTGAGGTATTCGTTCGGGAAGTCCATCTGGGCCGTAGCAGCGGTGTTGGCGGTAGCAACGGGGAGGAGGCCACTGGATAGAGGGATGCCGCTTATGGGGTGAACTCTTCCGAGGGGCTCCCTCCCATCAAGCGGCATCCTCCCAAGGGGCTCTCTCCCCGGGGGCTCCCTCCTTGGGGAGACTTCACTCCCCGTTTCACTCCTCACCACGCATGCGAGGTTCTGCTCCCCAGATACGCTTCTAACCGAATTGGCGTCGTCTGGGCTGTCTTCCTGGAGATCCTTCGGCTGCTCCACCGGCGGAGCTCCTTGGTCTGCTTTTCCCCCTCCCTTCGAGACTGCCCTTGTTCCTCCGTTTCGCTCCGCCGCCTTTCTGCCACCAACTAGTGCGGCCCCTTTGGGTACCTCCCTGGCCTGATTCGCCCCATCCTCTGCAGGTATCTTCTTCTTGACAGTCCGCTCCTTATCCTCCCCGCCGTCACTATACATTCCCTTCAGTACGGCATACTTCTTCCCCTCATTACCATACTCCAAATGAATGGGCTTCGTACTGGAGAAATTAAAAGAAGATTCGTCGGACCCATCTAGATACTCCTCATTTATGAAGTTATTAAAATCTTGGTCGTAGACCTTCCCCGAGGTTGTTATTATATTGTTCGATCCTTCGTTTTTGTCTCTGTCCGTATCGAGTCCGCTGCCGAACTCGTCCTGCTCATCGGCTATCCTCTCATTGGGGTCGTTACGTCTGTTCCGTTTCCTCTGCATCGTCTAAGTGGCGCGTTGTGGGAGGCCAGGATGGAAAGATGCGAAGACGCCACGAGGCAAAGATGCAACGATGCAGAGAGGGTGTGCCGCTTTGATGCCCCCTCAAACGGCCAAACGGGACGGTGAAGCGGCTCAGAAATTTAGCACTTCAGCGGCGAAGCGTAAAACGCGGAACACACCACGGGGGAGGAACACCAAAAGGGGAAACGCCCAAACGCACACATGCTTTACGCGCTTCCATACACGGAGGCTTTTCCTTCCTTGCGTGTTTTTTTTCCCCCTTCCCCGCTTCTTTTCTCGCAGGAACAGAGCAAATAAGTGAGTCAACCCGCGCTGTGCACAACGTCCATGTCAGCGTAAAAAAGGTCAATTCACCTCCTAAGCTGGAGCTGAACTCGTTGGTACCTTCGATAGACCTTTCTCACATAAGCCTGCGTTTTGTTTTCCCCCCAAGTGTACATACATGGGTTTACTCCCTCGCAGGTGGCTCGTTCGTATGCTTGCTTTTTTTACACTTTTTTTATTCTTCTTTTACTGTTTTTTTTCTTTTCCACCACTTGACGACCGTACACATGAAACATCCGTGCCGTTCGTAATAACAGAATAATTTGTTCACCAGAAGAAGTAGAATGAACATTAAGAAAGGGAAGTTCTGCTTGGTGTGAGCTTTTTTTTTTTTTTTTCATAATTTGGTTAGCTGCACCGTTTTTTTTTTTTTTTTTTTGGGGGCCCATTTAGTGATCTTGCCTATGAGAAAAGGATGGAAAAAAAAACAGGCTAATTGAAAAAGCGGGCGGGGGAGCGACAAATATACCTACCCCATCGATCATCTGACGAATTGGCACTGTATAATTTTTGTCTACTCAGACATACGCGGCACACACCAGTTGGGGGGAAAAGAAAAAGAAGAACTATAACCTGTCCAAGTGAGCAGTAAAACAAAGGCATCGAAAGGTTGGACGGACTTGGTCGTTAAAGGAAACTCGTCCGCCAGTAAGCCTTCACTGTGATCACACCTATCCGTGAGAGAGTAAATAAGAGGTCTCTTAAATAGTTAATTTCCACTGTGTGACACCTCCTTCGCGCGTACACGATGCGCTCAACGAGAGGATGATTGACCGATCTACTGAAGTAGTGGACGTCAGGTTGAGGCCCCTCTGGGGAGGGTAGATATATATTCGTATGCGACTCAAAGGGGTGGTCACCAGACGACCTTCGCACCGTCGTTGTGCACTCCTCACATGTTTCACTAAGTTTTCGCCGTCCCTCTTCCCACCTCTACAAAGGGGGTCATTGCTGGTTTGTTCAGAATACCCCTCGGGGGGCGGGATTTTTCACGAAAGGGATGCCCAAGGGAGGCCACTTTAAAACGGTGGACAAAGTTTGCAGGTGATTAGCATATTATTTTTTTCTTCTTTTTTTTTTTTTTTTTGGTGAGGGTAAAAGTAGACAATTGCTCCACGCGGAAGGGGAAAATGTGATGCGAATTCGCTAGGGAACACCTCACCGGAGTAGACACTATCTTGACTTTTCACTACTCTTTTATTTTTTTTTTTTTCGTTTTTTTTTTTTTCTGTGTGCACGATTCACGCGACTGTGAAGTTATAGGCGCACTGATGAGCGGGGTCATCCTCCATTATCGCCAATGCGAAAAGGAGAAAAAACTGTACTTACTGTTCCTTTCCACTCTGAGAGGCTTCCCCTTCGCGCTGCCATCTGTGTATTTATTGTCTATTGTGTATTGCCCATTCCGCATTCCCCATTTGCTCACTCCTGGGGGGAAAGACGAGAGGGTCGCCCCCCCCTGCGCAAGAGCATGTGCGTAAGGAGGAGGATGCGAATGAACATACACAAAGGCATACGCACGGATTATTTTTCCTCCCCGTTCGGATATAACTCGATTTCACGTCCATTTGGCAATTCCGCTTGGGGAGGGTCCCTTTTGGCTCAGGGCGGTGAGAAGGTGTACCGACGCGGACACGGACAGGGATATCCCTACCCCGCCGCTCCCCCTGTGTACTTTCCTCACGTTTCTTCTTCTTTCCATTCCTCCTCCTTGAATTCGCCAAAATCGCCACCCAAAATGAGCAAAATAATTCAGCAGATATTTGAGGACTACAACCGGTCCAGGACGCAGTTCACCCAGAGCATATACGACATGTGTCTAAAGGCACACAACATGGAGATAATAATCAGCACGGATATCATAATTATGATTCGGCCACTGATCCTTGACAAAGTTCCAATCGTCCAGCAGAATGCCACTCAGATATTAGCCAAAATGGCTAGTCACTCGGAGGAAGTGGCTCTCACGATTTTACAAAATGATGTCTTACCACATCTAGTCTACTGTCTAAAGCATGAAAATAAGAATTATCGAAAAAATTGTGCCAATACATTGAAGTGTCTAGCTAGCCATAATGCCAAGCTAGCCAATTTAGTAGCGGAGGAGGAAAACTGTATTGATAATCTTATGGATTCTTTGGACGAATATGACATTAGATTGAAGGAGGCATGTATAAATGCACTTTGCGCGATCGTGAAGAATGACGTGGATTTGTCCAACAAACTGATGGCAAAGGGGATCATCCCTTTGGTGATTCTCTCCCTACAGGAGAAGGATACAAACCTAGTGAGGAGTTCATTAAACATATTAACAGAGCTGAGTAAGCAGACCAACGAGATCGCTAAGGAGGTGGTCGATAATAATGCTCTTCCGCATCTGATAAAATTCTTAGAACACACAGATGTGCAGGTAAAACGTCATGCGTGTAACTGCCTCGCTCAAATCGCAAAACATAAAGAAGACTTAACTGAACTTATAATTGAAAATGACGTGTTTCCAAGAATCATTTACCTCCTAAACGATAGTGACGATGTGGTAAAAAAGAACTGTGCCAATTGTTTAAAAGAAATGAGTAAGCATAATGAAGATATTTGTAAGATTATTACCCGTGCAGGTAGTCTTCCCTTCCTATGTGAATGCATTGAAAAGACCTCTCGGGGTAGTGTCCGACTGCCCGCTATCCTATGTATAGGCTTCATTGCGTCCTTTTCCGAATCGCTAAGCTTAAATATCATTTTATCAAATGCTATTCCTATTTTAAAGAAATGCCTAATTGAAGAAACGGAGGATTACATCAAAGCTGCATGCGTCTGGACGGTTGGAAATATCGGGAAACACTCTTCCTCTCATGCTAGCAAGCTATCCGATGAGAACCTCCTAATCATTTTAGTAAATCTGTACAATGCGAATGACTCCTCGGATGATTTGAAAAAGAAAGTGAAACTCTCCTTCAAGAGCGTCATTCAGAAGGTCATCGATTTGGAGTCCCTAGAACCCGTTTTCCTCAAAGCGACGGCTAAGCTAGCCAAATACTGCATCTGTCAGTTCGCAAAAATTATCCCCAAGAATCCCACCTATAAGAAGTCCTTCATCAAGTCGGGCTGCTTGAAGTACCTGCAGGTGGGAAGCGCCTACATGCACATACCGTTTGGCGTACCTCTACCCACACGTTGGCCGACAACAGTTCATACGCTCCTGGCCCCTCACACGTTTTCCGACAACCCCCCCGCGCAGGAAATAAAGAACTCCGAGGAGGCCAAGAAAATCGAAATGGAGATCAACACCATCAACAAGTCCTTCCCAGAAGATATCATCAACTATTACACCCCTGGCTACTCAGAGACGTTAATAAAGAGGATTGACCAGGCGGGGAAAAGTTAAAGCGGAAGCGGCAGGAAGGGGGGAACCTTCCCTTTGTGTCCGCCTACCCCGACCCCTTCACTACTCAGTGTCGTTTTTAATTTCACATGTGCTGCGTTTACATGTGGAGATTTCTTTTCTTTTTTTTTTTTTTACTGTGCACCGCTGCCTCCCCCCTTTGGGAAGAACTTCCCCTCATAACCCCTTGTCAATAAACTTTTCCCCCACAACTCCATTTTATCAATTAGGAAGATTTATTAAAATATACCCTTCCCACGAAGGTGTACTCATCCCACAGGTGGGTCTATGAGGTCACCCCTAAGTGTACACTACCCAGTGCAATTGCGCCACTGACTTGGTGAAGGACTCTACAAGATGCGATGCGGAATTGGGCGGGCGCAGACCATTCTCTGCCTTTCTTCCTGATGAAACGGGCATGTAGGGTTACACTTGTTGGTCAGTTCTTCGCATCGGCATTCGTCACCGCTGTTTGGTTTTCTTCACCACATGGTGGATGCAGAGATGCCAGCTAAAGGGGTGCTTCGCCACATCCTGCAACGTCTCGTAAGGTGGACTAACAGCTTCTAAGGCGGCCTACCCCCACGTAAGGCCCTTTCATGAAACCGATACTGAGGAGAATAGCCCCCAATGTGCTGCCCGCCCCCAATGTGCTGCCCGCCCCCACTGCTTTCTCATCATGCCGCTCGCACCTCCCGCGTGGGGAAAATGCACAAAAGGGGAAGCCCTGGGAAGGGGGAAAAAAAGCCATCACAAGGGGTTCCCTCGCGGAGCATGAACAGGACGTGATAAATTGTATACGAAACAGGATGCCAAACGGAGAGCGGCTGATGCCATACGAAGAGCGGCTGAAGCCAGAAGGAGACCGGCTGATGCCAAACCAAGATCGCCTAATTGCAAATAAGATAACTCAACTACTTCAGCACTACAGTCGACACAGTTATCCTAATGGGAATGTCCTGCAACTGATACGTTCCTATGTCAAACATAATGTAGACAGCTTCTCCCTAATCAGACTATGTGGGTACGTAAACTATTTTCTAAATTTGAAGGTGAAAGGGGATAGAAGTTTCAATTTCGTCATCACCAATTCGCTCATAAAGAAGATTAAGAATGACGAGTTTGTCGACCTGTACGGCGTTTGCTTAATCGCTAAGTTTGTCCTGAGGGAGAGGGTTAAAAATGGAGACCTCCTCTCCTTGCTGGGTTCGCTCGTACGAAGCAAAGGTGACGCAACGGCTAGTCCGTTTGACGTGTATAATTTGGTAGTTTCTCTTCTGAGCATTCAAAGCGAGGGGCTGCTCCGGGGGGACCTGTCGCCCACAAAATGGGGCACAGAAAGAAGCAAACAAAGCAGCAGACAAACTTCTACTCACGACATTGCCACTCACGACACTGCCACTCACGACAGCGCGTACCCCTCAGATGGAGTGACCCACATGAACGAACAAAACGTGCACGCACTGCTCCATCTATACCTTAACGCACGAAGAGTAAAAAACGAAGAACTCGTCCTAATTATCAACACCCTCAGGAGCATGGACAGAACGGCTTTCTTCTACCAGATGAATTTAACCAAAGATCAGAGGGTCCAACTTTACGAGGCTCTCCTAAGACGAGTGAATTTCGAGCAGAGGTTCCACGGGAAGGTACTTGCGCTCTTCCTATTTAATTTACGAAAAATGGTCAAATTGGGGGAAATATCCGAAGGGGTCTTTTTCTCCACTGTGCTCAACTTGGGTGCGGCCTTCAGGGAGGCTGCCGCGGGGACCAAGTTGCAGGCGATGTGGGCGGAGAATCCCACTCTGAGAATCCCCAAAGGTGTAGAAATTCCGACGGGGGACGTTACGAATGGTTTGAGTGGCCTGGATGGTCCCGATGGTATGGATCGTCTCCATGGCAACCTCGTGGGGGAGGCTGCCCAGGGGGGGCCCCCACAATTGAGGACACATTTTACCCTGCAGGAGATCGGCATGGTGCTGCAATTTTATGACGCCCTGATGGGGGTCTCCCAGGGGAAGAGGGGCAGCACGGGGGGTACCTTGCAACCGGTGCGACACACCGCATTTTCACAGCAGGGTGGAAGTTTTTACGACGAAGGGGCAGGTGCAGCGCGGCGGATGGAGGGACCCACGGGGGAAGAAGGCGCTGTAGCTGCGGCCAACCCCCCTGTAAAGGACCTTTCTGAAGACGCCCCGGTTGAGGAGACGCCTCCCCTAGCTGAACTGTACGAACCGTCAGTACACCTGCTGAAGGAAAGCCTCCTTCTTTACGCCCAAGCGAGTTACAAAAAAAAGGTAAAAATGAACACCCTCGATTTCTGTACTCTACTCAAGGGACTCTCAAATGTTTTCCAAAACACATTCCTAGATAGAAACATACTTCCCCTTTTTCAAAACTTTCTAATATATAATGGGAAGAGGATTAAAATAAATGAGTTGCAAATGATCTTAAAGTTAATTCTGGAGAAGAGAAAATTGGACTTATTCTCTCTCTTGTGTGGCGGTAGGAGTTGCTCCATTTTCGAGCCCCTGCAGAGTGTACTCTTGACAACGGTCCTGAACGAATCACCTAACTGGTGGAATCAGGAAAGGATGGAAGCATGCATCATGTGCTTCTACTATTTGTCCTTCTTAAACTTCAACCGGAATACGTACCTCGTGGTGAACCGATTTGTAATGAATCACGTGACATACGGCCGCGCCGTTGCGCTTGTGCCCTACGTTGTTCTGAGCAAATTTAACTACCACCTGTTGGAGGTGAGAGCGGTCAGGAGAGCGGAATCGGTTATAGTGTCAGAAGCAGTGGGAGAAGCGGAATCGGTTAGAGGAGCAGAAGCGGTGGAAGAGGCGGAATCGCTTAGAGGGGCAGAAGAAGCGGCAAAAACCAGCAACGACGAACTGCCCCCAAACGGGCAAATCACACCTAACTTCGACAGGATGGACACACTCTTTCAGTTAATAAATCGACACTTCGAAAAGTATAGAACCTTCTTTGTGCTAAACTGTCTTTACGCGCTTACCAAGTTTGTAAAGGATAACAGGACAATCGGTTTGCCACCGTTTTCGAATTTTTCCTTCCCCGAGTTATTCAGCAAGTTGAGCGATCGGCTGTTAATGCAGAGTGGAGTGAGAAGGCAGCCAGAGGGGGACAACATCCGCACTCATTATGATTTCTTTGTGAATTATGTGAAGTACAATTACTGCCTACTATTCCTTTGTCAGTATGTCGATTTGGAGATTTTTCTCCAGAGGGTTCCCTTAGAGGTTGAATTTCCATTTGGATTTTACACCCCTTTTAATGCCTACCTCACCGCGGAGTTTTTAGCCAACTATGAGCGGCTGTTGGGGAGCGGCCGAGTTAGCGGCGGAGTTAGCGGCCGAGTTAACGGGGCTGTTACTGGGACCAATTCACTTCCGTTCTCGCGAGAGGTGATGAACTCCCCGTGGAGAGAAATCCAAATGGAGAAAAAAAAACTGCTGAAAAATGTAACCAAGTACGCAGACGCGCACTGCAAGGTGATGAGCATACACGACCTTATACACTTGATCAAGGCGTTCAAAGTGGTAGCCCCTTTGCTGGGAAGTGGCCATCTGTCTACCCTCCACACGTGCATGTCAAATCTCCCTTTCAGCGGAAACGTTAAGACGAGCACCAGCTTCGAGCTCCTAACAGAATTGATCAAATTTATGTACCACTTTGAATTGCAAAACGGGGAAGTGTTTGACGACTGCCACGATAGGGTAGTGGACATGTTGATACTCGCATTCAGAATTGTTTTTAAAAATTTACCTGACCGTACAGACAATAACTACCTTGGCATGCTGCAGTTTTCCCTCCTGTATGTGTCTCACTTTGTGCGCGGAGCAAATTTGCTTTTCAATTCGCTATCCCTCACCGATTTGAAACGGGCGGATTACTTCACGAGCTTGTCGCCGATGAACTTGGACAAGTACCCCCAATCCTCGTGCACATTTCAGGTGAGATAATCTCACGGGGGGCGAATCCCCCTGTGTGTGTTCGTTTGTTTGGCTCGCTATTTGTGAGGCAGCGACAGAGTGTGCACTACGTTAAGCGCTTCGCTGCACTTGTGCACACGTCTGCCCAATTTAGCACACCTTCTCACCTTTGCACAATATTTCCACTCCTTCCCTATGCAGCTACAAATTTTAAAAGTCCTTAAAGGAGTTGTCAAAAATGATAAGAGGCTACTAAATGAATACCGCGTCGGCGACACACCGTACACGGTTGACATTCTTATAACGTAAAAAAGGGAAAGAAAGATGGGGGAGAAATAAGTTAAGTGAACCAAAAAAAGGGAAGACGCGTTTTTTTAATGTATCCCTTTCAGTGCGCACTGTGGAGCGGCATCGGACAGCGGTCGGTATGCGTCCCTCTCGCGCAGGCGCCAGTATTTTTTCTGAACGTTTCGCATGTTTTGTCTGAACAGTTCACATGTTTTGTCTGAACAGTTCATATTTTTTTCCTGAACTGTTCATATTTTTTTTTTTTTCTGAACTGTGCATTCTTTTTTTTGTGTTTGTTACTTTTGGCCGACTGCGCCATGGGTTGCCCCACTACGGGAGGAAAATCCCCATTTTGCAAAAACAAAACTGCGCTTAATGTGCTACTCGGAGGGTTTACTCGGATAAACGCTGTCCAAAGTTAAACCTTTTTTTGTTTTTTTTTTATATTCAAGAAATGTCCACATGTGGCCGTAAAATTGCTGTCCTGGGGGGGTCCGTCCTGCCTTGGATAATTCTTTGATACGTCCCTTCTACGCTTTGTGAATATGTCTACGCTTTGTGAATATGTCTACGCTTTGTGAATATGTCTACGCTTTGTGAATATCTCTACACTTTGTGAATATGTCTACACTTTGTGAATGCCCCCCCGAGCTTCTCCATCTAACAAAACGGGTGTGTCTACAAATGACGTCTTCTTTTCTTCACTTTCGTAAACAGCTCGGTGACATACCGCGTGGGAGGCTTCAACAGGTGGGAGTTGCTCCATGGGAAATGTTTTAAACGGGGCTTCGTATAATCATTTGTATAGTCACACGTTCGTCCGTCACGTTCATGTGCAACTTCTGTCGTTACTTCTTTTGTCACCTTCTGCGGGTACTCTTCTTCTTCCGCCGCGCCTGTGAACTGGAGGACCTCCTGCTGGAATGCTCTGATGCGCGCGAAGGGGACGAGCTGGACCTCCGGCCATCTCTGAGGCGTCTCCTTTTGTCACCGCCAGCCCTCTCCTTATGCTCCCTCTTAACACTGTGCTTTGTACTTGTATGTTTATGCTTCCCCTTGCTCTTCCCCTTATGTTCATATTTTATCGAAACAGTCTTCCCATCAATCTGTCCACCATTCATATATTCCTTTGCGATCGTCGCATCCATTTCGTTTTCAAATTTTATTCTGGCGCACAGGAAATTCCCCCCCCCGTTGCTCCCACTTACATTTTCCTCATCGAGCGAAATGTGGATGTCCTTTAAGTTCCCAAAATTCAGGAAAATTTCCTTCAGGTGATCTGCTCTTACGTTTTTTGTTAAATTGTAAACATATAGGCAGTTATCAGTCATTTCGTCTTTCTCTGTTCGGAAGGGGGAAACGGCAAATGGGGAAGCATCAAATAGGGACGCCGCAAATGGGCCAATCAGAATAGCATAACGACTGTGTCAGTTCAGCAGGAATTTCCCCTCCTCTATTTTTACCTTCTTGCTTTTTTTCTATTTTTTTAACAAAGGAGAGGCGAATTTCTCTTCCTCTGAGAGTCTCGCGTGGGGTAATCACCTCGTTTAAATTTATACGCCCAATAAGTGGTACATTTTCAGGTTATACCCCCCTGAATGCACCTCATGAGAGAAAAATAAATGGATCTCCTCACTCGTCCCGCATATACTACTCCTATGTGAATGTTGAGAGGGACGAGACCATCCAGCTGGTACATCGCTTCGTGGGAATGCCCAATGAAAAGGCAGTCACCGCTACGATACGTGCCATATTTCCCCGTGACGCCAGGGCCAACCCGTACTATAGCGAATTTTTCCGCTTTACCCTCCCCGTTTCCCTTTGCATGCCCGCCCAAGGCACCCAAATGAAAGTCACGGACCAGTTGCGATGTGGCTTGCCCACATGTAGAAGGTAGTTCACTAAGGGTGTACAATTTCCCACATGGGCTATAGACCCCTACTACGATTCAGTAGCGAAAAAAGAAAGTAGCTGCACTGATAAAACAGTCATTCGGAAGAAATTACCAAAATTCATCGCGTAAGGAGGAGGGCCCCTTAAGGGGAGGACAACAAGTGGTATTCTTTAAATTTAAAAAGTTTATCTTTCCTTTTTTTTCGTTTTTTTTTTTCCTTTTTCGTAAATTCGAAAATGCTACTTAAGGTTTCTTCAGAAAAGACAAACAAATGGCGTGCACATGTAGAGGAAATCACACAAGTAGCACGCACAAGACAGGGACAAAAAAAAGCCCAAAGTAGGGGGGAAATTGGGACAGACAGAGGTCAACATTAGGGCAAAATTGGGCTAAAGCAGAGGCCCAAATGGGGGGAACACAGTTGAATGAGAATTCTGCGCGCACTTGGAGAAATTTCCAAAATGGACAAAACAAAAGGGGGAGAAATCAAAAAAAGAACGGAAGAGTAAAACAGAACAAATAAAATAAACAAAATAAAACAAAAAGAAAGAGATGTGTGAAAGGGGGGGTTGAATACAGGGACGCATACTTATGACGAAAAAATTTAAGTCCAAATGGAAGCTGTCATGGGAGAATGTGCAGATGGGCGCGCACACCATGTCCCCATTGGGGGGAAGTTGTCACGTAGAGGGGTTAGCTGTTGCATTGCAACTTTGCTCCCCTGTTTTATGGACTCCCCGGGGAAACTCTCCCTTCCCCCCCAGTTGCTGTATGTCCCAGATATGTCTAACTCGTCGGCTGCTTTGCCCATTTCGTTGGTTGTCTCCTCCCTCGCTGCTCTGCCCATTTCGTTGCTTGTTTCCTCCCCCGCTGCTTCGCCCACTTCCTCGCATCACTTCCTCGCATCACTTCCTCTTTTTGGACTCGCGCTGAGCCTGGGCGCCCTGGGGCGCGGCGGCTACATCGGTGGGACCCACCCGGGAGCCCCCCTTCTTATATACGCAGTACTGCACCAAAAAAATAAAAAACACAATGTCGTTGCCCAGGGCGTTCCACTTGTGCATAAGGGGAATGCGCAGCACGAGCGCAAACAGGTCATCCACGAGCACATATGGGAGAAGAAAGAAGAAAAAAAACAGCGGAACGCGCTCCACCGTCTTGGTGTAATAATTTCGCAAAATCTGGGGACATATGAAGAGAAAGTTAAACAAATAGGAAGAGAGAGCAGCCGAGTGAATGATGAAGGCGTACACGGAATCATACGGAGTGTACATAAAATTGTATGCACACATGGATACTACGGTGCAGATCATGACGTTTGGCATCTTCATTTTGATATATTTTTCGATTTCCTCCACCTTGGTCCGCGACTGCTTCTTGTGCATCCCCCCGCCGTTGGCGATGCTTGGGCTGCCAGTGCCGCCTCCCCCGCCGCTACCCTCGATATCCTCCGTGTTTCTCGTAATGCACACGTACGGATAGACCTGCATAAATTCAATGTCATAACGATCCAGCAGCTTCCAAAGACAGACAGCCATCTTGGCCACGCAAAAGAGCATCAATATTTTGCAGTCACTTCTATTCTTCAAATAAAGAAATATGAACGAGGTGAAGAGTAACTTAAAATGAACGGTGCCTGATGGGAAGGAATATAAGTGATTCACCCCGTTCCAGTTAGTCAAGTCAAACACGAGAGACACCAGATCGATTAGCAGAAGGATGAAACAAAGAATACATATGATGAGGCACAGATGGATATTCCCACAAAAGTGTATGACCAAGTTATCCAAATCGTGTGACGCAAATTTATATTTCTCTTTCGCGTAATTCACATTAAAGATGACGATGTTGTAGAGATTGAACTGGGGGAGGCTCATTGGAGAGTATTCAATTTCAATAGTATTTTCACGCTGCGTATGGTTGTCATTCGAGTGTGTCACATTATCTTCTTGTGTGTGTTTTTTTTTTCTCCTTCGTCCGAGGTTTTCCTTCTTTGCCTTCCCTCCGATTTGAAGCAGCTCATATTCATCTTCCGGAGTCAGGTGATCATTGTAGTAGGTTGGAAGGAGGTACATACTATTTTGTTTGTCCAGAAATATGTTCGAGAAAAATCCAATTTTATTTACGTTGATATCATTATGCTCGATGACAGGGCCAAATTTTACCTTCTTAGGAATGTAAAATTTTTTCAGTTTTGTTTTTTTTTTCACATGTCTTCTTTTTGGCCTCATTTTTTTGTTTTTTTTTTTTACATCTTGGGGAGGCTCTCTTCTGGCGCTTTTACTTTTCCCACGTTCTGACGCGTCACCTGTGTGGGTCTCCTGCTCATTTTCTTCTTCGACCTTGTCCTCGTTGTCGTCGTCTTCCTCCTCAGCCTCGTCTTCTCCGTCTGCGTTGTCGGCGTGCTTCTTGGCATGCTTCTTGGCATGCTTCTTGCCGTGCTCCCCCTTGTACTGACCGTTGTACACCTCCCGTACCTCATCATTTTCTTCTTCCTCCTCGTCGTCGTTTTCTTCCTCTTCTTCTTCCTCTTCCTCCTCCTCCTCGTCTAGGAAGCCCTTCCAGAGGTATTTCTCCTTGCGAGTCCACTTCTTCCCCCCGCCTCCCTCCCTCGTGAGTGCACTGGTGACGAAGCCATGTCGGTAGAGTTCTCCATTCACGTAGGTAAGTATGTGCAGGTAAATCTCTTTCCTCTTCTTTATGAGCTTCTTCGGGATGGTAAGCTCAACGGAAGGATATTTCCTCGGCGCGAGGAGGTTCCACCACTTGGTTCCTCCGCCTGGAGGATGACCATAACTCCAGTCATACGAGACGTTGTTAAAATTATACACGTTAATAAAATCTTTTTTTTTCTTCAAATAGTTCTCTTTCTCATTTACGTATCTGTTCAGGTCAATATCTTCTTCACATGACATGTACAGGTGATAATCCACTTTGTCTTCTTGTTTGAAAAAGTTTGTGAATGCCCTATGAATATATTTCTCACCAACGTGAGGTTCTTTCTGCTCCTTTTCCTCTTTTTTCCCATCTCTTGTGTGTTCATACACGGGGGTCCTTACATTTTGATAAACATGATATGAGCAGTACACAATGTAGTAGCATATGATTCCCACTGCGAATTTTATCATTTTTCAGTGCATCCTTTCGGTTTGTCTTCGCTCTGGGGTGGTTGTGGCACACTCGCTTCGCACAAGGTTGCAGGCATGTGGATGGACACACCGGACAGCTGCCCACGAATGGCTCCTCACGAGGGACCCCTTACAGATAACAGGTAAAGCAACGCGTCCTCCCCACCGCTATCGCTGCTGCGCCGCAGTGGGGGGTAATTCACACTGGGGGGAGAAGGGGCGAGACGGGGCGAGACGGGGCGAGACGGGGCGAGACACATGATTCGCGCTATCAAACGGGGAGGACTTACCTCAACCTGGACTTTCTTAAAAATGACGCGTGTGTAGACGCGAACGCGTGATGGCTACTTGCGTATGGAGCACGCACGCATGGTGGATTTGATTTCCTCTCGCTGTGTACACTCTGGCATTTTTATGTTTATCTTTCCGTTCGCGTTTGTATTTCTTTGTTCGTTCGTTCGTTTGTTTGTTCGTCCACTTGTTTGTTTCCTTTCTGTTTCTTTTTTGTTTTTTTTTCCAATTCAGTTGAAGACACTTCGCGGAGAGTGACTGTTTTTTTCCTTCGCCGGGAGTGAAGCGATATATATATATTTTTTTTTTCCTTTTTTTCTCTCTCTGTGTCATTCGTTGCTTCTCACTTCTCCGTTACGCAAAAAAGAGAAAAAAAAAAAAAAATCGTTTGACAAATGACCAATTGTGAGTGTTCCTGAACGGTTAGCAATTCCTTGCTCTTTTTTTCTCCTTCCCCCGTATCGAGTTGCTCCGCTATCGCGTATGCAGAGGGGGAACATGTCGATTTGGGGGTCCCCCACTGCTGATTTGGAATTTGAGCTTCCGCTTCGCCAGCTGCCGCTTCACAGTCCTGTTATTTTTTTGAGACGCGCAAAGTTAAGATAAGAAGAAAATAAAATAAAAAAGGAAAAAACTAGAAAATAAATAATAATAAATAGATAAGAAAAAACTACCCTACTGCAGTTGTATGCTCGCATGTATGCAGAAACATGTTGTGCACACGGGGGATTGCGGATGCGTAGGACCAGCACTGCGCGCACGCCTGGGTGTGGTCTCCCCGTGCTCTGGACGCAGCCACCTCCTGATATGCAGTTAGGCATCGCTTCATCTGTGCTTATCATCCAGCCGCGCACCCCAACATGGAACTCAACGCGAGCGGAAAGCAGGAGGTGAAGAAAAACGCGCAGATCCAAGTCAACAACATTAACAGGATTATCCTGAATATCCTATGCGCGGAAGCATTAAGGAAAATAAAATTCATCCTGCATGTGCTGAGAAAGCTGCTGCAAAAGAAGACGAACATTCTGCATGTGTATATCACCAACGACATTCACCACCTGTCCACGGAGAACAGCCGGAAGAAAATGTTAGGGGGGGAGGGGGAAGAGTAGTGCAAACGGGGCGCGAAACGACAGAGCGATCGAAGCGATAAACCGTCCATCAGCGAATCCACCAAACCGCCTATCGAACGAACGCCTTACCCACCCCGCAGCTTCAACACCCTACAGGAAGGAATCGAGTTATGTGAAAATGAAAGCCACTACCAAGTCATAAAGGGGAAAATCGAGGAGTACCTTGACGCCCTCAGTGAGACCAACGAAATTTTGTGCCAGAATTCTCCCGCCGACAGGAACTTAAAGGTTAGGGGGAAGGGGAAGGCCTCAGGAAAATAAAAAGAAGTGAGACAAGCGGAACCAAAAGGGATGAATCATTTCCCCTTCTGCCCTGTCTGACACCTGCACCCACTGGTTCCCCGTCCCCCCAACAAACAGGACAACCGAAACAAAATAATCCAAGATGGCTCGCTGTTGCTGAATATATTCCTCAATATGAGGAGGTTGAACTTTGCCTCCGTTGTGAAGGAGCTGGACGCCTTCAAGGAGGAGCAGAACCTCCTGCTGAGCGTAAGGGATGCGTGAAGTGAAGCGGCTCTGAGGAGAGGTGGCATGTTCATACCACCCCGAACCCGTGTGCTGCCGCACCGATTACCACTTACCCATTACCACTTCTTACCCTTTCCGGAATCCTTCCTCCCCCCCCAGCTGAGGCAAAACGTGTACCACAAAAAGCAAATCGTGCACATCCTAAAGGATCAAATAAAAGAGCAAATCGAAACGACGGATAAGAAAAAAAAAATGATTCAAGAAAAAATTGAAGAAACAGAAAGAAGGAAAAAGATATTTTTCGTAAAGTCAATGCTGTACTATATGTACAAGAAGGAGTATGTCCAGGCGACTTCCTCCAGTTATGAGATGAATATGAATTTTAGACATCACTCGACGAAGGAGGCCAAGGACATGATGGAGAAGGATCTGAAATCCTATGCCAATATTAACGATTACATAAAAGGCTTCTTGAATAAACGGAACGACAACGTAAGTGCGTCCCTAGGCGGGGGGGGGAGCGGCGAAATGGAGCAGGCAAACTGCAGGGAAGCTGATTGCGGTAGAGCCCATCGCGGCTGAACCCACCGCGGTAGAGGTCCTAACCCCAGTCCTCCCCTTCTCCCTTACCCCCATTCGAAGCTGCAAAACGTCCACGACGACCTCGTCGAATATTACAAAAAGGAGAGACGAAAAAGGATGCAGAAGCTGGAGCAAATAAAAAATGAATTTAAGGACTCCCTTAGGGAAATTCAGTTGAAGCAGGAACAAATTGTACGTCCGCGGCATCGCGCCAGATGGGTGACCCCATAACATGCGGTCATTATAACACCGTGCAGTAGACCTACCCACATAAGTACACATGTGTAGACGGTCTGGTCGGAGGAGCATTTATACTATGTCGGACACAAAAAAGACAGAAAAAAAAAAAAATTATTCCCCCGTTGTGGGGCACTCCCCACTTGGTGTAACCCTCTTCCATCACCCGTGCAGGCAAAGTACGATCAAACGAACAAACAACGGGAGGAAGAAGAAAAGGAAAAACTGCGCAATGAGATTGACGAACGGGAGCATTTGAAGAAGCACAGTGAGTACGTCCTATTTTTGCAAGACATAGCTCGAAGTAAGATAAAGGACTACGAAGAGAAGAGACGCAGAAAATTGAGAAAAAACGCAGCAAAGAAGAAAAAAAAATAGGATCACCTTCCTCCCCGGTGGGAAGAAGTTGGATGATTCATCCCCTTCGCAGGTGGTCTTCTCAGTGGCTGCGAAAAGGAACAGCTAAAAGAAGGTGTTCCCTCCACGGGATGCTCCCTTATGAACAAATGGGTATGCTTATGTATGTGTGACACCGGGGAAGAGGGACCCACACAGCAATTTGAAACACAGCCGAACGAACGAAAAATTCAGGAGATCAAACACACGCAGTCGCAGTAGAGGGATAACATATTGAGGTACATTCTTTTATACTGATCCGATTTGGGGAGTACGTCAAAGGTGTACAGATGTTTTTTGTTTCCTTTTTTTTTCTTTCTCTTCCGCGGGGTGAGGAAATCCTCTCCATATGCGCTGCCACTCATCGTGATATTTTCGCGGCGGGGATCGTCGTTGGACAGGCCGGATAAATCGGATAAATTGCGCAGGTGGTGTGGATCGCGGTGTTCCCCCCCGGTGTGCCGTTCCCCGTCTGAGTCGTCCCTCGGAGCAGCGACATCAGCTCTGCTTCCCTCCTCAGGGGTGCCTCTCTCCCTGTCACGAGGCGACGCACCGGAGTAGCCCCCACTGATCAAATCACCCCGTTCAATCTCCCCCAATTTTCGCTTCCTCCTCACGGAATGTCTTTCGAAGAAGTTATGATTCAATCGCGTTGCAATAGTGCGCTGATCATTTTTGGGAAATCTGTCCGTTCGTTCAGCATCCCGATGATGGGCCCTTCCACGCGCGCGGTAAGTATTTCTTCTCCCTCTGGAGAGTTCGCCCCTACCTGTAGCATAAGAGCAGTCTCTATTTGGAGAACGCTGCGCATCCTTATATGGTCCCGTCACCTTCGAATCGATCGAATTGCCGATGGGAATAGCCACCCGATCGTGGTTTAAGTGTTCGTCAAAATTGACCAAAAAGGAGTAGCAGAAGTGAAAACTGAGGATGTTTTTAAAGAAGGGCACGTCATATATCTCCTTCTCCATGAGCATACTTGGAAAATGATTTCTATTCGGAGGTGAGAAGAGGATCTCGTTCGTGTTGTTGAGGCTATCGGCGCAACTATGCTTTGTCTTCCCATCCATATAATGCATAGAGACATTTTCAGCATATATATTTATTCTTTTTTTATCCTTGACGAAAAGGAAGGCCAAGTTGACAATCACCAGGTTGTATTCTTTCTGCTCATTCAGATTGTATAGTGCTTCGGTGAGGCTCTTCTCCTTCTGCTGCCCGTTCTGCTTCTCTTCCTCCCCCTGGTGCTCCTCTTTTTCGATATACTTTATGTGTATGCCTTTCAGAAGCCGCTTAAATTTGTCCAAGCTGAGAGGTTCCTTCATTGGGGGGAGCTCGAAATGAGTCCCTCTGTCGACTGTCCCCTTTTTAATGTCTTTTACTGTGTGGATGCTCCACTGGGTGGGGTGCCGAAAGGAGTTTCTCCCTTCATCTGGTTCGTGTTGTTCAGCCTCTTCCCCTACGTCGCACAGCTCTGCCCCATGTGGCAGATTCTCCGCTTCCTGATGGAGCTTCCCTCCCTGCTGACGCAGCGTCCCATTTATGAATCCCAAGATGAAGTCAAAATTGGGGGGGAACTTCTCCATCATAATTCTGTTCGTTAAGTAGAGCGCCTTTTTTTTCTTCTTCTTTCCTCCTTTCGATTTTATCCCCCCACGGCCACTCCCTTTCAACATCTCTAGGACTATGTCCAGCACGATGAATGTGTTCAGTGTGGGGAGCACCTCGCTGTCGCACAGGAAGCATTTCATTGGGGGGGGGGGCAAATGCGGGGTAGGGAGAGGGATATACCACGCATAGCGCAGCCGAATTAAGTGCGAGTCACTTATCACACAGATTAGAAGGCACCCGAAAGAAAGGGGATAATATGCCCCTCCTCTAAACACAGTTCTTAAAGAAAGAAAAAATTGAAGAAATAATAGTAGAGCGTTGTATCGACGTGAGAGCTCGACGGGGGGGTGTCCGCGGGCGGGGTGCCTTCCAGTGGCAGACGATGCAGGTGCTCAACAGAGAACAGCTCACGGATGGGTACTTCTTTCATCCCCGCCTGGTTCAACCATTTAGTGATAAAGGCGGGGAAAATATCGTGGAAGGTTTCTTCCTCTATCTTTATTGGACTTCTCTTCCGAACGATTCTTCTGAGTAGGTAGTAAAACTGCAGAGCGGGGAGGAGTTGCCTCTGCTTGTTTCTTCGTCCCTTCGTGCGTACATTCCTGTGTGTGTTCATGCTTCTTTGCGTACCCGCATGCATCCGCGTGGGGTCTTCCCTCTTGCCATTATACTCGGGGGGAAAATCTCTCACACAGCTCAGCAATTTTATATACCTAAGCGATTGGGCCAGAATGGCGCACATGTCAGGGCGATGGGCCCCTTCGTGGAGAAAGTCAACCCCAGTTGGATGGCAGCTTCCCTCACTTTGACTACTTCCCTCATCTGTAACGTCGCTGCTTCGTCCCACGCGCGGGGAAGCATCTCTGATTTTTTCCCGCCACCCGGGATACGTGGAACAAATGAGCATGACGTAAAAATTGATGCACTGTAAAAACGTCGTATCTTCGATGTTCCCTGGATGAGAGACTCCTTCCAACGATGTGGAAGGGGAACCATCCGCATGCTTAATCCACTGACGGGCGTAGTCCCTCTGGAGGGTTAGCATTGAGTAGGTAAAGGGGTGAAAGAGCTGCAAGTCGAACTGCTCCGTCATCAGATCAGCACAACGGGTGGTAGCCAGAATGAACAACATCTTACAAAAGGAGAAAAAGATGTCAGTAAGTAGTGAAATGTCTACGTAACGTAGGAGGAATCTCTTTATTAAGGAGGGCTTCTCTATCTGTTTGGACAAAGCATCCATCTGGTTCATCACATATGTGAGGCGATTCAGGTTAAGTAGGAAGTACGGACTGCTATACAGCTGCACTAACTTAGTAACTGTTCCGTGGCGATGGTCCAACGAGAGGACGTTCTTCACGACACGATTGATTTGAAGACACACGGTTAAGAAGCTCCAGATTTTTGTAAACCGGTACATACATAGGTGGATCTCTCTTGAGGTAGGAGATGTGTGCAATTCTTGGGAGACCAATCTTTTTTCTTCATCCTGATTTTGCACTGTGTAAAAGAAACGAAACCATTTCGATACGTGGAGGAGAAGCACATCAATAAGGGCTTTATCAAAATGGTACAGATTACTACACGAGTCGGTAATTAGTGCAATGTCCTTAAGACTGATTCGGACTTCTGCCTTTCCCCTCTGCTGCTCTGGATTGCTTCTCGTCTTGGCTCCACTCTGCTGGTACCACTTCTGTACACACTCCCCCAACTGCTTTATGTCCCCATCGATGAGGTGAATATCGGTCTCCTTCCCATTCGGGAAGAGCTTCATGAAGTTTTTATATCGGTACAGCCACTTGAGTAACTCTCCAGTGAGACTGCTCTCTGGCGACTTCTTCTCCTCCTTTGTTTCACCCCCCTTGGAGTACTCCTTCCGGGTCACCTGGTTGCTCCTCCGCACTAAGTGCTTGTGTTTCCTCAGGGCTACTTTCCTGTTATTGTCACAGAGAGTGAAATCGATAAAGAGCGAATCGTCCACATGGATTACGTTCCCATTGGAAACCATATCGAATGGGTATCCGTATGTACCCGTTGCATCTTCCTCTGAGGCTTCCCCCGTTTTGCGAACCCTTTTAACTCCATCGAATGTGTCAAATGACTTGTTTGACTCCCCTCTGAATAGCTGGGCATACCTCCGCAAACACACGTTGCGCAAGTTTCTTATTTCTTTGTATCTTGTGAGGCGTAAATCTTGGCCACTCTTCCGACCGCTCTTCGGGCTGCCCTCAACACGTGGCTTAGGCGAGGCCTTCTCGGTGTACCGTTCGCTTCGGTGGAGCTCTGCGGAGGGGGGGAAAGCAAACGATGGCACAGAAGAATGACACCAAAAGATAGCAGAAAAATAATGGAACAAAATAGCGGAGCGAATCATCCTGGGAACACACACGCACCATGCGACACGTCGTACCGTGAGCGCGGGCCAAATGGGACCACCCCACAGCCGCTTCGCTCCTTACCGTCGAAGTGCCTCCGGAAAAGCCTTCGGTTGTGAAGACGAATAGCAGCTGGATGAACGTCACCGAAATGCTTCGACACGACGGAGTCTCTTTTCATTCGTCCTGTCGACTGGTAGGGACCTCCTTCCCCCGTCTGGGTATCGCACTTCACTTCTCCAGAAAGGTGCACCATCTTGGCTCTCCGAAACATGTCCACATTGAGATACTTCAAATGGGACATGTCCCTCTTGTCCCCGTTTCCGTCTTCACCAAGTAGAGTTGATTTTTTTTTTTTTTTTTTTTTTAAACTTTCAAAATTGATTTTTTCACTCTGCTTGTAGAGGAATCTCAGACAAGATTTTGTCCCCCCAATGGGAATGGCGACAGGGGTGTTAGCAGAAGTGTCTTGGGACCCACCTGACGTCCCTTCACTGGAGCGGCGCACATTAGCACTGCTGCTCTTGTGGCACTTCTCCTTTGGGGGAAAGTAATTTGTCCCTCCACTGAGTCTGACGGCGCTTGTTCGGTCAAGTGGAGAGTTGGCCTCCTTTTTACTTTTCTTAATGGCGTCGTGGAAGCACACAAATTGGGGTTCGCCGCGCCTACTCAGGCTTCTATCAAATCGGCTAGCCTGGTGAGTAGCATCGGCGCTAGGGGTGGTTGCGGCGCTACCCTGGTCGGGAAGGGGTGCCCCCCCTGCGAGCAGACACAGGCGAATCATCTGGGATAAGCGGAGGAGCATGTCGGAGGCCCTATGCCCACATGTCCCCAGGTATACAAACAAGCTGAGATACATTTCTAGGTACTTCAAACCGAAGGAGACTTGGCTCATCTGTTTCTCTCTTCCTACCGGTTCTTTCTCTCTAATTATGTTACAAGCTTCTACCTTCATTTTGATTCTCTCTTCGTACAAATGTAGAGGTAAGTGGGACAGTTCGTGGATGGCTCCTCCTCCCCCCGTTTTATTCTTCTTGCCACTTTGTGGTACGGGGGCGGAAGAATTGACGGGGCCTACCAGGTAGGGGTCCTGTTGATGCACCCTCTCGACATGCGCCCGTTTCTCTTCTTCCCAGTAGGGCTGCCAACGGGAACGTCGTCTCCCCTCATCTGTGTGTATCGCTTTATAAGTGGGGGATGCTCCCCCCCCCGGGTTGTCACCCCAGATTGAGATGAAAGGCGCATTGGGGAGAATACCCATAGGGGGCAAAAACCTTTCAAAGAGGAAACAAAAAAAAGGCTCATCGAAATGGTTTAAAAGGGTCAGTATCTTAACGACATATACCACATCTGCATAAGTGTAATGGTAGAAGTTGTTGCGAATCACGTTTAGTACTTTATTTAAAATAACTGTCTCTCTAAATTTTTGCCTCTTTAGCAGTTTCAGAATGGACAGCACACCAGTTGGAGACAATTCGGATCCATGCTTGTCGATGAACTTCCTAATGAATAGAAAAAAATCCGGTTCCAAGTGGACATTATTGTGAAGGAGGGTGTTCACATAAGTAGCAAACTCTCCCTGAGTTATCCAATCGAGATGCCTCTCTACATTTCGGTGCAGATCTCTTATGTAGTCCAAATTGTTTCTCCGACTTTCCTCATTTAGGACAACCCTTAACAGGAGGAAAGTATCTCTCAGGGGCAACTGACAAGCGTAATAACAACACATATGTAGTAACGTGTCGTATATCTCATTTTTTATCTTCCCTTTGTGTAAGAAGTGGAGAACCAAAATGATATGCTTCAAATCTTTGTGACGTTCATTTATCTCCTCTTGGATGAGGTTGAAGAAAAGGAAACTCCCCCCCTCTCGAACTTCCTCCTTGCAGTAGTTAAACAAGCTTAGATACGTTTCTATGTATTTCCTCGTCGGGACATAATTCAGTAAGTTACACAGATGTAGGTAATGTGAGATGATCTTCTTGGACCCTTTATTCATTCGGCACAGCCAGTAGAAGTATTCACTGCTACATTGCAGGAGGGGTAGGTTTTTATACTTTCTCTTGGCGAAGATTTTCAATATTAACAACAATTCATTTTCGTAAAATCTACTCATATTTTTCATCACATACTTTGTTGCAAACCTATACTTGGCGATGTCGTCATTTGGTTGCAACTGCTTTATGTACTTGAGGAGGTATACCTTGTTGTTGTAAATTTGTTCTTCTGCCATGGGGTCGGACTCCTTCGATTTGGGGAACTCGTCTAACGTTCTGTTTCTCGACTCTACTGGGAGATGCAATATTGAGGATGATTCTTCCCCTGTCAGGGCTGTATTCTCTTGTACAATTTTTTCCCCCCCTTTTTCCGCCCTACTGACAAGTGAGTTCTTCGCATCATCGGTGTATGTCCTCCTTCTGATGCCATCATCACGCTGGGGGGGATGATCCCCACGGTTTTTACCTTCATGGAGAGAAGTCCCGTCTGTCCCGTCTGTCCGGTCTGTCCCGTCTGTCCGGTCTGTCCCGTCTGTCGGGTCTGTCCCGTCTGTCGGGTCTGTCCCGTCTGTCGGGTCTGTCCCGTCTTTCCCTTCTTGGAGAGAAGCCCTTTTTTTCTCTCCTTCGAAATAACTCCCTTTTTTAGGCCTCTTCTCCGATTGCTCCTTCTTCTTTGCGATCAAATCGAAGATGCTGCTACAGTAGTTCGTCGAAATGGCCACGAACAGAATCCGCTTCCTCACCGCTGCCTGTTTTGCCATCAGCCTGCTCGCGGACCACTTGTTCGCTGCGTTCACGTGCGTCATCGCTAAATGTTTCATGGTTCGCCAATCTGCCGCGTAGCAGTTATAGGTGACGCTTCTGTTGTGTGCCTGCTCACCTGTTTGCAAAATGTGGGTTTGCAAATTGGGTCTCACTGGATGGGAGTAGCTGCCGACTGCCTCGCTGCGGGTGGCCTAACCGCGGGATGGCCACCCCCCCGCATCTACCCCTACGTAGGTTCACGCAGATACACTGACGAGATGCCCCCTTCTGCTCCCTTAGGAGAGGGGGGGATTGCCTGGATGCCAAGCAGGATGAAATACACTCATGGGGCCCTACCGTCAACCCTACACACTACTGCAGCGGGAGCATAACTTGGAAAGAAAATTAACTAACACTTATCCACCTTAATGGAGATACAAAACGGGAGGAAGCAGAACGGCACATTTAAGGTGAACCTCAAATGGATAAAACGGAATGGTAACAACGCCGCTTCGTCCTCTTCGCTAGGATTAATGACTCCCTTTTTTAAAGTAAAAAAGGGGTTAGGAAAATCCGGAAAAAAAGTGTTGTAACCTCTTTCTTTTTTTTCTTTTTTTTTTTTTTTTTGAGAGGATAAAGGTGCTATACGGGTAGCCAGAACAACGGCCTTTTAAATGGGTCTGTTTTGTGGCTCCTCCGCAGAGGATGGTGCGCACTTGGGCGAATTCCTCTTCTGACGAAATGGCCCCCCATTTCGGCGCTGCTTTGGTGAAGAGGCAGTTGTGCGTACAAAGTGCCGCGAGCAGGCGGGTTGGCCACCTCACCTCATCGCCACTTCTCTTCTTTCCAAACTAGATAGCCCCACTGCGTGCATCTCACAGACCCTTTTGCAGAAACCCGCTTCAGAGGCGAAAGCTTAACTCCCCATTTTTACAAACGGCAAATCGGACAAGTTGGAACGAAGTGACAACGGAGTGGAATAAGAAGGCGACAAAAAAAGAAAAAAAAAAAAAAAATTAAAAACTCGAAAAAATCGAAAAAACAAAACAACGAATGACAAAGATTAATGTAGAGTGAACTGCCCAGCCATTTTCATCTCCACAGTGGGACCACACCCTAAAAAGAGAGAAAAAAAAAAAAAAAAAAAAAAGCAAAATAATTGTCACAAGTGGTGTAATTATTTTGATATAGCTAGTAGGGTGAAACACAGCGTGGGCAAGCACATAACAGATGGACCTCTGCATGTATGCAAAAATGGGCTTCCAGATAGATTAGACATATCTGTGCAGTGGGGATGGTACCCCTCCCCCTCCTTTTTCCCAGGGGTGCAAGGTGGGGCCGGACACTTAAACACACAAAGAAAGGGATTCACAAAATGGGTCATGCATACCGACTGGTGAAAGATACACACCTGCGTATCATCCTAATTTCCCACTTTCGTAGAAAAGAAAGAATGAGATGCTAACTTCGATTGAGTGAGACGGAGGAACCCCTCAAATGGCAGTGATCCAAGCCAGTGGAGGTGTCACGTGAGAAGGCAAACGGGACAAGCACTTCATCGGTCTACACTCTCCATGTGAACACTCTTCATAAGCACACGTAAAGGGTCCAACCCTAACAGCATGGGAAAAATTTCTTCGCCTTAATCTTCCTCTTGCTAACGGCAGGCATTTTCCTAATGCTGCAGGTATGGTCCATTTTAGGCGTCGGGCCAGGGAGGACAGCCTGTTTGGGATTCATCTGCTGCATGTACATCTGAGGGTTATTCATATTTTCAAAGATGGGCATAGAGTAAGGCATGCTATTATAATTGTAATTATTATTTTCACTCAGCATGGTGTTGAAATTTCCATTGGGGATGCTAAAATTGTTCGCATAAGTCATAGGATCCGTTTCTTTCGCTGGGAATGTGTTAAGATAGTCAGGGGAGAAGTGATCACCTGTGCTTGGGTAATTCATGTACATCATATCTTCCCCAGAATGATAATCGTTGAAGTTCAATGGGACTTGGTTAGCTTGAATGGTGTTCTGTGTGTTGTTATAATTCATCAAATTTGTGTAACTATCAAATCCGGTTGTCGTATCCAGACCTGTCTTCATTCCTTGCATGCTTATGGAGTCATTTGGATCTGTATGTATGATACTGTTCATTGGCATTGTGTTGTTGTATGGGTTTGCCCCCTGATCTATGTTAAATTGTGGCATCATGTCAGGTGGATAGCTTTCTCTGTTAATGACATAGTCACTAGGACTGTAGCCATTGGTTAACACTGCTCCATTCATCATATAGTTTGCGTTCATGCTGTTATGCGGGAGGTCCACTGGGTTCATGGCGTATTTTGGATCCTCCTCAAGTCGGGAGGAATTCAAAACAGTTCTCGTTCCGTACGCCTCGTCCATTTTGGTCTCCGAGTCGATCGCTAGGTTGTGCTTTTCGCGGGGGAGATTGAAGTGGAATAGGGAAATGCAGTACGAGGTGGAATAGCGCCAAATGAATTGCTAAGACAAATGCAGGAAAGCCTAAGAAGGAGTATACCTCCCCGCAAACACTAACACTAAAAAAAAAAAAAAATAATCGCACTAACGGCCAAGGAATGCAAAATAGTTTACGTTCTCCTGAATGGCCTTCTCAAGATAAAATTTGCTGCGGAACGAGTCAGCATGCATACGTGTAGGTGTCTGTGTATATACATATATCCACGCGCAAAGATCTTCGGAAAAAAAAACAGTTGGACAGAAGGACAGCGCGCTAGAAGCTGTGGAAACCTTTTTTTTTAAAAAAAGAAAAAACAAGGTAAGTACAACATGGCTGGTATGTTACAAAAAAAGAAGCAGCACAACACACTGCAATGCAACGAATTTTTCCTGGAAAACAGATTTACACACCGTTAGCCTTGAAAATCTACAACTCGAAGTAGAAGTCACAAGTTCATATTAGCATCACAAAGGGGTACAAATTAGACGTTTTTCCACAAAATGGTCGAAGAAATTGAATTCTGTTTGATATTCCTACTGGCATGTAAAAGGGTCATAATAATTATAAGGGCAGTTATTTTCTCTTATCTTAACAAACTGCTCACACGGACAATTTTTTAAAAGGACGCAACTAATTCGCACACAGGTGAAGCATTCTTACAAAAATTGTATGAACAGGCAAGGTAAATTTGGCATTTAAAAAAAAAAAAAAAAAAATCCCTGTGCACACATAGGTACCTTTTAGAACGTGGCTACTTTTTTTTTTTTTTTTTTCTGCATCCACGCTGGCAATGGCACATTTTGAAATGTAGAAATATCGGCTTATAAAGTGGAAGATGCATAACTGAACAAATGTACATATTTTTAACACACATTATTATTCCTCTTGAGTGCGAAAAAGCGTGCATATGCAGGTGTGGGCTTTTTTTTTTTTTTCCAACTTATGTTCTTATTTTACATTGGGCAGTGGCTACTTTTAATTACATGCACCGTTCAGGCGTCTTTTTTGCAAAATGTGCGTACTCGTGCAGAAAGTTGTACATGTAAATCGGGATGACTGCTCCCTTTTTTATGTCCCAATTTCTACTGAAATGGCCAAGGCGGGAAAACGCCAATTTCTGCTTCAATTTCCATAAATTTTTTGCTTTCTTTGCAAATGAGAGGTATGGACGGATTGCTGTTGAGCAGCCTTTCCAAATATTTTGAAAACGCTGGAAAATGCACTTCCTACGTAATGCTCCCAAATTAAAGGGCTACCTTTTCTGAAAAGAGTACAGCGGTTAAAACGTCTGCGTACAAAGCAACTTCGTATCGCTAGAAAGTGCATCCGTTTCGGTTCCTACAAAAGATGCTTCTTTGCCATGTTGCGGCACCACCGCATAGCTATTTTTGCATGATCAAAAGCGACGTTAATCGTGCAGAAAGGCGAGGTCCTCACAGGGAAGCGGGGCGCGGAAGGCGCAAAAGCGAATACATGAATTCCGTATGAACACCGAAAGGTCCAGCACATGGGCGCAAGGTGCTTCACGCGGAATGGACCTTTAGCGGTCATTTAAAGTGGCGACCTGGGGCATTTACTTTTAGCGCTCAAAACGGTTAACAATAGAAAAAATTAAATTAAAATTAAACTAAATTAAACTAAATTAAAGTAAAATAAAGTGAGACGTTACAAAGCATCTCCATAGGAGTGCGCACGTTCCAAGTTTCCCAAAAATTTTATCAAGGGGTCTATGAAAAAGATATCGCTAGACGCACTTCGCACCATATGTGTACACAGATGTGGTGCGCATGCGAGGCGCTAAACGTGGGCTAGGAGAATCATTTGGACTTTTCCAACGTTATATTATAAAATATCATTTTTTTTCTCTCTCTTTCCAGCCTTTGGTGCATCCTTCTGTGTCGAACCCTCCGCGGGGCCATTTCCCTAAAGTGATTTTTTCTCATGGTTCCATTGCTATCCGTAGAAAGCAAAAATGTTATAAACTCAGCGCAGCCGTGTAATGCGCATGTCCATTTTCCCGTTATTTCGAATTTCCCGTTGCGACATTTAGTGGAAGCATCATCTTGTGGGGCGAGATAAAGCAAAATATATGCGAAGGAGTACGTGAAAAAAAAGAGAAAAAATAAAATAAAATAAAACAAAATAAAATAAGTTCATTTTGTGACGTACATGTAGGTGTAGAGGAGCACATGATAGGAAAATTAGCCATCCATGTCATGGAAGGGTTTATGATTCGTATGCTTACGCGAATGTTATTTTAATATTCCGTATTTTGCGCCATCCATTTCGGTACATGTTTCTATGTTATTTTTTCCATTGGGAAATGCTTCTCCACTTCTTCGCCCCCTTTTTTTTTTTTTTCATTTTTTTTTGTTACCCTTTCTGTTTTCATTTTGTCAAATGAAATGTTCACATGTTTACGCTCTGATTTGGTGAGAAATCATCAAAGGTAGGGAAGCCACCTTGGCGCTTTTCCACCCAGACGAGTCATGTGTGATGGTAGGGTATATGCACGAGCAGAATCCTCTGTGCAAGGGGCGCGAAGGGAACTAAGGCGGATTGCGGTTCTTGCGTCTTAAGCCCATCAGTTTGGTGGTCTTCGTGACGTTACCCCATGTCAGGTGCCCCCTCGCCTGCATATTATATTTACATGCATAACTGAATGTTTACATAGGTGCGAACACAGCGGCATATCTACACACATAAGTGCGTACGTGTCCGCACGTACCACTTATCCATACCGCTTATCCATACCGCTTATCCGTGCTGCTTATCCATGCTGCTTATCCGTGCTGCTTATCCATGCTGCTTACCCAAACGGCCTACCCCTACCACCGAACAGAGGGCGCTCCCTCTCCACGCAGAGCCCATGCCTGCAACGTCGGAAGCGCACATTCACCCCTTGGGTTTTACTTAAAAAAAGTCTACTTCTTTAACCCACGCAGAGATGTCCTCTTTATATTATTAAATGTGTAATAATAGAAAGGGACACGAAGGAACTGCAGAAAATGGGTTTTATATGTTCTCTGTTAATTTTACGTGTGTACAGAAATGCATTAATTTAATTATTTTTTTTCTCTCTTTTAAATAAGTTATGATTTCTCCTTTCCCCTTATTGTAATATACGAAGAAAAAAAAAAGGGAAGCACAAAATTCACATATGTGAACATACAATCCATGTAGAAGTCTCTGCAGATGCGCTATCTCGTAACGCAGACGTTGGATGGCTTCCCTTTCGTTTCCAAGTGCAAATACTAAACGCTTAGCATTTTTTTGTTACGTTTTTTTTGCTTCGAATTGTTCGTCCAGCGGAATTTCTCATTCTTTATGCCTGCTTTTTCGATAGCCAATTTTTTTTCATCGTTTTTTTATTGTATCTTTTTTGCCGCGAAACTGTCAGGAGAGATCCATGTTCGCTGCGTACACCTGCGGGGGTCTCTTTTTTAGGAAATTAAAAATAGGAAGCGACATTTCTTATTTCTCTTTTCCAAATTTTTACTCATACGGTGCATCCCCGTTTGGGGTGTGCCAAAACTCATGGGAGTGCTTTCCCAACAGGGGTTGCCTACCAACACAGCACATATTACCTAGTGGTTGTTTTTTGTGCATGCGATTTTGTAACTTAAAAAAAAAAAAAAAAACACACAATACGTACATATATGCGTGCATACGTGAATACCTGTATAATAATAAAATTGTTCAAACGGGGCGGCGCCAATTTTGTGCAGCCAAGAATACCTACGTGGATGTTGAGATAGAATGTACACGTAAGAAGCGACCAGCCTTTAGGAGGGCCATTAAAAAAAATAATATGCAAAAATATATATATATCCAAGTATGTATTTTTTCCCCTCGCTCTTGAGAGAAAAGGGACTGACGGGACGAGTCACACGTGAAAGGGAACCTTACCTTTACATGCGTGTGCATGTGTGTCTGGGGGCGTTAGTAGCTCAGTGCACGCATCCAGCCGCACGCGTCCATCCACACACTTCGACCATTTTGTAACTGATCGGGGAAGAGGCGAGAGCTAGCCAGCAGGACGAGCCGGGTGAAGAAGACGAGTGCTCACCTCGGCCCCTTTGTTAGCATTTCCTCTCTACCCCCCGTTGAAAAAATGTCCTCAAATGGCATCATGAACGGGTGCAGTCAAAATGGAAAAACGAATTTCAGCGTGAATTTCGTGAATAGGAAATTTTCGCCCCTAAGTGGAAAACGTGACGAGGGAGACAGCTCCAACTTTGAGGATGGACGAAGAACACATGGAGTAGACCGCTTATCCAATAACATCACACCGGGGGGGGCCTTGGACGGGGAAATAATTGCACAGAACGGTGAACAGAACTTTAACAACCATACGAATGAGCTTCTTCATCCTCAACATTTACAGGAAACTAATCTTATTAATAGGAAGGAGGAACATGCGAGGCAAAACGCAAAGTTAAATTGGGGGTACCCATTCAAATGGAACAAAACAGAGAATGATCCATGTGGAGAAAATCCAAGGGCAGAAGAAGCGAAGGCAGAGAAATCAGGGGGCGTCTTTCCCCAAATGGCAAATGAATACAATTCAAATGAAGCTAAAACGACAACCGGTAATGGCAATATTTCGCCAAGTAACACAGATCGGTCAAATTCCACTGTTGAGAAAATTTACCTGAACAGGGCAGGCGAAATGGAAGAAAAAAAAAAAAAAAAATCGAGCATATCGAATGTTTTAAACGGTAATGCCAAAAATTGGAGTAACGTAATGAATGGCATAGAATGTAGAAGGTTGATGCCAAATGGAGTGGAGAGCAGTCACCCTGATGAAGCTAAAAAATCGCGAGGCGTGGAAGATATTTCCCCACTCAGCGCTAACAAGCTTAGCGGAAAAATAACGCTCATTGGAAGTGGCGAAAATGATGTGTCCATCGAGACATCTCACAGGAAACAACTTTTACAAAGGGGAAGGCAAACGAACACACACGAAATAGCCATTCCGTTTTTCACATCCCCCATTCCAAAGCCTGAGTGGAAAAGCGACAAATGCATAGACCATCTAAATGGCCACTCCTCCGTTGTCAGTCACACACAAAATGATGGACAGCACCCATTTTACATGGTCAAAGGGGAATTCTCCGCCCTGAAAAAAAGGAATGAAAATATATTGCTCAGCGACAGGGAGGAGGTGATATATTTGAACAATCGGAATGGGGGATTCCAGGACGTGGCGGGGAAAATAGCAAGAATGACCAAAAGGAGTAGCGTAAGGAGTAACGAAAGGTGCAGCGTAAGGAGTAACGAAAGGTGCAGCGTAAGGAGTAACGAAAGGTGTAGCGTAAGGAGTAACGAAAGGAGTAGTGAACGGAGTAGCGAACGGAGTAGCGAACGGAGTAGCGAACGAAGTAGCACAGTCGATGACGTAGACGATGTGGTCAGGAATAGGCCGAGCGGTGAATCAAACCGTGCTCTCCACACCGTAGACAGTGGAGATATTAATCTCCTTCCTCCAAATGACTGGAACGATCTGATGAGCAAACGGGGAAAGGGGCAAAACAATCCACCGAGAAACTGCCCCGACGTTTACACCAACGGAAATCTGACACATAGCGAAAGAGGCTACTCACTTAGCAGCGATAAGAAACAGCAAAGTTTTATGAACCACGTAAGAAGAGACGGTCACGAAGAGGCCATTGTCTACGACATGAAGGAAGAGCAAACATTTGGTGATTCGAGTGATAGAAAGGAAAGGGGCCTCACCGGGAAGGAAAGTATCCCCACCTGTGTGAATCCATTTAACGCACCGAAGCATGTTGCAAAAGCTGCGCCTGAATTGAGAAGAAATCTTGTAGGCCAGAACGGCTTCCTCTCACGCAACGATGTGGTAAAGACGACGGAGAATGACATGACAAGAAAAGACAACACAGCTGAATGTTTATCAAGCGTGCATACCAACTGGGGCACCAGTGAGGGAACCTATAGATCGAATGAGGAAGACAAAATTGTGAATGCGAAAGGAAGCAAAAAAGACGGAATGAAAAGGGCCCCACATGACTGCATTACTTACCTTCTGAACACCCAAAGTGGGAGCCGAGAAAATGGGTTCTTATTAAGCCATTCGTTTGGAGAAGAAAAAAGCTCAGACGAAATTAACCGCCTAAATGGATCCAAACGAGATGGGTGTGTACCCGCTATGGAAGGAAAGGATAAATTGGACAATACGAATGAGACACATATTTGGGGAGAGTTAAGTTGGTCGCGATGCCTGCATCAGGGGAACGAACACCCTCTGTGTGCCTCCCAAAACGATAGCAGCTTTAACCAAATGAATGGAACTTCCCAGGGGGAGGAAGATAACGACATGTGTCACTCCGTGTGTGAAGAAACATCTAAAACAAATGAGAAATCAACTCAGAGAAGTTGCTTTCCCCTCTCTCATCAGAAGACTCCCCCTCTACAGACAAAGAGAGAGAAGTATCAATATGGTGAAGTCAGCACGGAGAAAACACCCGCAGAAGATAAATCCATTTTTAATTACCACGCCGATTGGATGAACCGTTTAGAGAAAGGCAGGGACAAAATGACCAACGGGGAAAGGTACAACATGGGCAGCGTCTACAAAGAGGGTGCATTGACGAATAAGAATGACTGGCTAGAGAACAACCTGCATAGGAATCACCCCCTTTTTCACCCCCCCGGAAAGAGGTGCCCATCGGTAGCTACACCTAACGTGGACACAGCGGGGAAGTTGCCGCACTTGGCGAAGGACGGAAACGCACACACACGCATTGACAGAGGAGGGCCTGAAGAAGTAATGAAAAACGAGGACATTAAAGAAGAAAATAAAAAACAATTTTTTGGATACGCTCAAATGGTTCATCCTTTTCCGGGGGAACAGACAAAGGAGCAGTGCTATGCCCGTCACGATGTGAGTCTAATAGCTGACCCGTTAAGTAGAAAACGAGTGGCCCCCAAATGGCAATGTCAAAACACGGAGGAAAAAAACAGAAAGTGTAATCAAATCGGTGCAGAAGAACTGAGCACCGAGGAAAAGAAAAAATCTCCTCAGGACAACTCTCCTTTTTTTTCGAATCGAAATGGGCCACATACTGAGAGCGCTCCTAATGCAAAGGAAGAGCATACTTATGGAGACGTCTCAAAATGGGAAGAGGCCAACCGGAACGAAATGGAAAACCTATCCAAATGGATTTCTAACCCAAATAACCTCCAAGGAGGACTTCATTTTGGACACATCCACTCCATTCACGGGAGTGGGCAAAGCTTGAAAAGGGGGAGGGAAGAAATTTTAAATCGAAAAATGGCTAGCCAGCTAGCCAATGGGGTACACCCAACTGGTTATAACAACAACCTCGTTCTTGGAAGAAATTCTCACGTGACCCCACACATGAGTGGATTTTCTGATCCCACTCCTCTGAGGGGAGTTTTCTCCGGGGTGACCCCTTCTTCCATTTGGAGAAGAGCCACTGACCAGGTGAGGACAGGCAGGCTCATCCCCGTCGGAGAAGAATATATGAGCAGCAGTCCCAATGAAACAGTCTACGACGATGTGAGGAGAATGTGCGGGGAAGCCTACAACCAGGAAGGACGGAATAGTCATACGGGGAACAGCAACGACACTCCTAATGCACTGCGAGGAAATAATCCTCCGCACGGCGCATACTCCATAGGGAGTAACGAAGAAAGAAGAGACATCCGCAGTGGTGCAAATGTAGACTACCTGAACAATTCAGGCGAAAAAGGAGAGGGTGTCCCCAAATCGGAAATTAAGCATGGACGCAGTTTGTGCGATGAGGCGGGTGAACCGGGCGAAGCGGACGACGCAGATGACGCGGCTGATCCAGCTGATGAGGAAGTTTGCAGATTGATGGAAGCTCTCCCGTTCGGGAGAGACAAAAAGGAGGTCGCTGAAGAGCGTGAGGAAGGAAGAAAAGACAGGCATGTCCATATTGATGGTGAGTCAGTCGTACATGCATATGCAGAGAGACGCGATTATGACGCTTTACGGGGTGAGCAAGACCTTCTAGAAGGAATGAAAGAACAACAGGGCCGTGCCGCCCCTAATCCGAACGACCACTACAGGTGGAAGCTGTGCCATGTAAGATACCCAGAAGATATCAACTTTACGAAGGCCTTTTTCTTTACCTTCCAAAATGACATATACATTTATGGGGCACGCAAAAATAACTTCGTCATTCCGGATCTGCTGTTTCGGATTCGCGAGAATGAAATCGAATCTGTGCACACTAGGGGGACCGCTCCGAAGCTGTATGTGAAGGTTTACTTTGCCATCGAGGAGGGGGACATGAGCGGCACGGTTCGCAGTGTTGCCGGTGTTAGCGGCATGCCAAACGGTGGATGCCTTAATGTGAGTGGTATTGCCCAACCGACCAAAAGCTTCTACATCTGGGGGGCCAACGAAAAGAGGCAACTGGACCTGTACACTGTGTACAGACTAGACTTGTGCCGCCTCGAATGGCAGGAGATAAAAATCACCTATAACAGAAATCTGAACGTATGGAGGGAGGATTTCTCCCTCATACTGATAAAGGATTGTCTGTACATGTACGGAGGAGTTGTCTTCAAAGATGGAGAGTGGATCTGCTGTGACGAATTATGGATGTGCGACACGGGCAGGAGGAAGTGGCAGATGATAACTCTGGGGGGAGGCACCCATGAGAACGACACTACTCAGAAGGGGGCAAATTCATTTTTCATTTTTCCCCGAAGCGACGTGGATAAACTTCTTACCAATTCGGGAAAATCATCTTCAAAGGGTAGCCTTCTTGAGGAGGGGAAGAGGGATGCAAATAACAAAGGAACGGATGCAGAGGGGGAAGTAAGTCCTAGCAAGTCCACTGCCACACCTTATGAGGAGAAGGAACCCAGCAGAAGAGCAGGCCACCTCTGCGTTGTGCACAAAAATAGGATGTACATTCACGGTGGAACTAATATGACCGAAGAAAAATCCGATTTCTACTTTTTCGATCTGGCAAAAAATAAATGGTTCGAGGTTGTTCCACATGGAGAGATCGTCCCCTCCAAGAGGTATGGCCACTCCGGAATTGTGATAAAAAACAAACTGTATATGTATGGTGGGTTCACAAAAAAGCTCAATGGGAGGAACTGCCTCAACAACGATATATTCGAGTATGACTTCCTGAAGAATACATGGAGGCAGGTCTTCACCATTGGAGATTTAATTTATCTAAAACGTTGTCTTAATGGAAAGGAAAAGGAATATTACCTTCGATTTGTGAAGTTGCTTGTGATGAGAAGGTACTACAAGGGTGCTAGTAGAAGCCGTTTTCCAGACGTGGGTGCCGATAAATCGCTGAGTGGCATCTCCCCTGGGGACTGGACCCAAAATGGAAGAGAAGAAGGGCAAGCCAATGGGAAGAAGAAAGACGCTGCTAAGTTTGCACTTGGTAAGGAACACCCACATACGAAGCTGCATGCAAACTTCCTACACATCGAAGAAACTCCCCCTTACAGTGAAGCCATCATCCCGCACAACATTTTCCGAAACAGGTGCCTCTACTTTAATGGCTCTCTGTACCTCCTCGGGGGATGCGGGCTCGACAATCATTTCGAGAGAAGCCAGGAGAACAACTTCTTCCTCCACTATGAAAGTGTCTTTAAAATGAAAATTGAACAATCCTATGTGCGATGCTTTGCACATTATCTCTCCCACATGGATGCATTTTTTGGGGACCTCATAGCGAAGGAGGAGATGGCGCTACATCAGTGGCTGCAACGGGGAGGAAACGTAAAAGAGGACACTGCTTCTCAGCATCTGACAACTACGCACAAGGACTTACATCACTTGTGGAGCCAACTGAATGGAGACAAAGGGACTTTCATCACCTCAGGGGGATCATACCCGAAGGATCTACCGTCTGCTATTAACCAAATTGATCATATGTTAAGAGAAATTTCGACCGGTTTGCTGTGTTCGAAAGTTAACGAGGAGAACAACCTCGAGGGGGGGCACATGAGCGAAGGCACATCGACAGAAGGGATGGTGGTACACTCAGCACTGACCAACGGAGAACTAACGAACTGTGCGGAGAAGACGAACCAAACAAACCACTTGGGAGAGGCCTTTCCGCTCTGCCAAAGGGAAAAAATGTTCCAACTGCTTACCTGGCTGATCGACCTATATCACAGTGATGTCTGCGCTGATGAAATTGTCACTGCTAACGAGGGGGGGCAGTGCCATGTGTCGAACCTTTTGCTGGAAAAGGGGCCTGCTGTGGGGCTAGAATCGGACTGCGCTTCGCCTGATTTGTTCGCAAAAGGTGGGACAGACGAGATTGGCAGTTTGGACGTGGGAGCTTCTAACGTGAGCACTTCTAGTACGCGCGGCGAGGTGGGAAGCCGCCCGAGGGAAAATAAGCAGGGGGAACCGCGTCCCTCTGCCAACTCGAAGGAGGCCACAAATGCTCACGCAGAGGACGCACAGAGCGGGAGACCCCCTCGCACAGCAGAAGCTGCTAAAGAACGGGGTCTAAGTGGAGAGTGTTTCCAAGAAAGTAACTTGCCGTCTGATCGATTTGGAAAAAGGGACAGAGGGAGATGTATTGCACCCCTTGACGAAGCATCGAAAGTTGATTCTCTGGAGGGCTGCCCCTGTGGAGAGCTCCCCACACCATCGCGTGATGCGCGTGATGCGCACTATGACAGCGCCGACAGAAGCGGCCAAAAGAGCACCCAGAGCAGCAATGGGGAGAGAAACGAAAGAAAAAGAGTACAACCAAGGAATCACTTCCCAGAGGGGCATAAAGAAGGCGTCCGGTCTGTCCTCCCCGAGGAAGAGCACAATCCGAAAGACCAACATGTGTGTGATGAGAACGATCTGCGTTTTAGCGAAGGTGACAGATGGGGTGACCATTTTGAGGTGCAGAAGGAAGTTATTAGTTTAGGGGCAGACGAATTCTCCAGGCACCTCCGCGGCAACACATACCTCATCTCAGATTATCTCCCCGACAGCAATCACATATATCTGAACATGGACAAGTCAATCATCTACAATTACCTGCAACACTTTAACGACCTCACAGATGACAGATATTCCATTAAAATGAAAATCAGGAGAAACGAGATTTATAAGCTTATTTACACATACACGAAAAGTGTCGAGATTCAGAATAGTGTATGCTTTAAGATGCTAGAGAGGTTGGAAGGTCAGGCTAGGCAGCTGCTTGCTGGAAAGGAACATGATACAGATGGGGCAAATCGAAGGAGAAGTGGTGCAGAGTACTTCGCGTCAGATGAAGGAGAAGAATCCAGTAAGAAGCAGCACCTCCCATTCAGCGAAGACAACTTCGAGTCGCTGCAAAACGAACACGGACACTTAAAAAAAAAAATGAAATACTTTTGCAACATGGCCAATATATACTCCATAAAAATTAACAAGCTAATTTTGTACATCAGGATTTTGGAGCAGAAATATGAATACGTGATGAACTGCTTGCTCAAGTTGAAGTCAGTTCTGTTTAGGGGGGACATTCCGAGGGAGGCGTGCAGACGTTTAGACGACCATTTGGAGGACCATTTGGCAGGTCACCTGGGCGACAACCACGCAGACCACCTCGGCCACCAGTGCGGGGATCACCTGGATGACCACTTGGGGAGATTCTTCGCCGAAGATACCTTCTTTGTGCATGAGCAGAATGGCCATTTTTCCAGCTGCGATTATGGGAAGCGCGCAAGTGATGATGGCAAAGATGGTGGGCAGCTCAATTTGGGGAGTTACCTCTGAATGGGCCTGTGGAAGGGAGGCCCGTCTCGGAGTGGGGAGGGGGGGCACTCCGACGTCCATTGCGACCTGTGCGAGATGATAACCTGTGCCACGTGGCTTTGTTGTCCTCAAAAGGGATATTCCTCGGTAGAGGGCCGCTCAGTCCGCCGCACGGCCTCTAACAAAGCACACACTTCCATACCACAACACACCCTGGCGAATGAGCTCCGCGCACCACACATGTCTTTGTGAGAGATTTAAATGTACTCCCTTTATATATAAACACCCTTTCTTCAAGTGCTCCCTCGGAAGCCCAAAATGTTGGCAGTCACTCCAATCCCGTGGATCGCTAACCCCAAAGGTATCACTGATTGATGCGAAGACGAAATGCTCATTTTTTTCACCGAGAATGTCCCCCTTAATCCGCCCAACTGTGTTTAAAAAAAAAGGGAGAAATTTTCGAAAATATTTGCTTCCCGCGTTGCCCCCCCTTTCTGCATATTCACTACCGCTCAAAAGTGAGATCGTTTTGTTCCTTTTGGGATGGATCACATCGCCACATTTTTGTTACTCCAGAGTGGGGGCAGTTCGCCAGGTTAGCTATTAGCTGTTACCTCCTATCGGTTACCCGTGGGGGGGTATTTTCTTTTTTGTTTCCCATTAAGCTGAGCCCCCGGGGCGCGTCTGCTTCGCCTTCCCAAGATATATACGCTCATTGATGCGGCTCAAAGAGCGGGGACGTATTTTTTTTTTCCATCCACCCATCCATGAGATGGTAAACATATGTATGTACGTTTGAAAGGGTTGCGGCTGATCTGATCCTTCCCGCTGCTGACGCCTTAACGCACAAATTAGACACTGTTCCGGGGCGCGAAAATGACCCAGAAATTATTTCATAATTGTGAAGAAAAGATGGGAGAACTCACTGTACGTCACGAAAAAGAGAAAAAAAGGAAAAGAGCAAAAAAGAAATGAAACAAATGCACAGTTCCGTGAGTACCTTAGGTTAAGCAACACACACGCGTAAGTAATGCACACGAGGGGAATATCTCCATGGGATGATAAAATAAAGGTACAGCTAACTGCGAACCGGTGAATGGACAATGGGCAGAGGTATACAAGGGAGAAGTCCTCAAGGGATGTAAATCTCCTGCTACGCCGCTGTTAAAAGAGGGAGTCAGGCATGGGGAACAATTTCCCAAAAAGATCACAGTTGAAGTGATACGATGTGGTATATCGCAGGAGGGGAGTACTTAACTGAGGAGTCTCTTCAAATGGGTGACTACTACAAAAGGAGATGGGGGCTACTTCCGATGGGCTGACCATATCACTTTGTTTACCCCCCCCCTGAGAATGATCTCATTTATGTTGTACTGCTCCTCCTACCGTTTTTCTGACGTGGAATAGGCCGCCGTACAATCGTGCAGCCACAGCATAGGGACTTTGTGGCTCCACCTCTGGTCTTCACTCTTTAAAAAATCCTCCAAGTTGTGCTGCAAAGGGGGGGGTAAAAAAAAAGGAGGCATTTTTTACAATTCAGTTATCTTGTTTTTCATCTTTTCCCCCACTTTGGGATAACTTTCCACACAGTCTCGAATCGCCTTCTCAGATTTGCTCAATTTGTAACCTTCCCGATCATCTCCAAATCGCTTTGCAGAAGGTAGAGGGAAAGGAAAAAATTCAACTCCTCCTTTTTCTGTTTCAGAAGGGGGTAAAGTGTGCACGTGTCGGTCTACCTATGTGGACAAGTGTGTACACATATGCACGAGGGCGAGACATCACTTGGGGGACACAACCCCGACGCGCCGCTTAGCGCAGCATTCTGTTTGTTACCAGCTCTGCGAAGCGTGAACTGCATCTGGGATTTATTTCCTGCGGTATTACGGCGAGGTGGAAAAGGGAACAAGTCACCATGTGGAAAGTCGCTATGTGGAACGTCACCACGTGGGAAACTCCGCCGAGGAGTAAGCTCCATGTGGAGGGGGTGCTTCCCTCGCCACACTTGCCATGCCTCCCCACTCCTCGTGACTGCTACTTTTTTACCCAAATTGCCAAGTTAAAGGGAGCTTTCTCCCCGCATGCCCATTTGCTCATCCCGTTTGGGCTGCCTAAATTTTTATGATTCTTCTCCTTGGGAAGCCTTCTCCTAGGAGTCTCTTCTTTGTAGTCGTAGCAGAAGTTCTGGCTGTTCACGCTGCAGGAGGGCGGCAAATGGTGAGGAAATGTCGAGCAAATGGTGAGCGAATGGCGAGCAAATGGTGAGGAAAGGAAGGATCAGGACGATCATGCAAGAGGGGTCTTTTTCTTATGTACTCATTTTCCCCTTCGAACAGAATAAGCTGCTCAGCATGAGACTCTTCCTTCATGTCTCCCTTGGCAGTTTTATTGTCTTCAGTTAGAGAGAAGTTGCGAGGAATTATAAGAATCACTCCACATTCTTTGTCCTTCGTCTCTTATCGCTTTTTTTTCGGGACGAAATGTCTACAACGTTGTGTTTCCATTTGTTTATATATTTCACCTCAGCAGTTGTGTGAAAAAAAAATTATTTTCCAGCAAGCCAAAATGATGGCACAAAAAAAAAAAAAAAAAATAGCGAAAAATAGCGAAAAATAGCGAAAAATAGCGAAAAATAGCGAAAAATAGAAAAAAATAGCGAAAAAGTAAGCAAATAAATTAGCAAAATGTGGAAGCAAATACATAAATGCTCAAATGGACGAGCAGCCAACAGGACGAAAGAACAGAGCTTAACTGGCACGGGGGGAGAACAAATCTGCCGTAAAATTATGCCGCGCGGGGGGACTCCCCTGAAACATCAAGCGGCATGCATACTCCAGCAAATGGCCACATAAAAAATACAAACTGGCGCAAACTGCTATAGAATGGCATGAAATGGCACAAACTGGTACAGAATGGCACGAAATGACATGAAATGGCACAAACAGGCACAATGTGTCAAATGCTCGGTGGGTTATCCCTTGCATGGCCTTATGGCATCTCCGAGCAGCACACAACATGAAAGCAGGTGGAAGACATGTCCCCATGAACGGAAAAAAGGAAGAAGTAAAATGAACTAAAATGAAGTAACATGAAGTAAAAGCGTTAATTTTAAAAAATTCATCACCCATTTTGTGTTCGCCTAGTTCTGCGGGGTGGAAAACATGACGTACACTCTCACATCGTGCCGCTCGCACGTTATCAATAGGGGCAGCGGCTCAGAATATGTCTGGTGTGTCGGTGAAGAGCCCCTTCTCCTTCGCGACCCAGTACTCATTGTTGAAGAGGTACATATCCCTGTCCTTATAAATGGGGTCCTTATGTTTGTAAAACCATTTTGGCTTGTAGGTGTCTTTCTTCCCCGCGTATTTCTTCCAGTTCGCCCGCTGTTTGTTTTCAAGTCTCTGTTTTTCACTCATGGAAATTTCAATATCTCCATTTTCGTAACTCCTCTGATCGGGCCTAAATCTGCTGTCCGTGCAGGCAATAGCTGCCCCCTTGGAAGGATCATATTCGGGAGTTATCTCGTTCAATTCCACGGTCATATTGTTAAACCCGTAGTATATTTCACTATGTTTGGGCCTTTTGGTGGCCCTCCACACACACACACCGTTTAGGACATCCACATTGTTCTCATAAAACTGCCAGTCAATGTTGTTAATAAACTCATTCAAAGCATTTCTATTAAAATGGCTACTATTTTCCGATCCATCGGCATTGAAAAAGTAGGAATCGTATTCCTGTTTTTTTAAATGTTTCACATAAGCTATGTTAATTTCTTGTGACCACTTTCCGTATAGATAAAAAATGATATTTTTGTGTCGATCACATATGACTCCTCTTACTTTATGAATTTCGTTTTCAAACCATCCCTTGCGAATGTAACTGACGATGGAGAAATCGCCATTGTTGTGGTTTCGTATGAGAATGTTTCCATGCAGCTCCACCCACAACTTTCCAAAAATGATGTTGTGTATTATCATGTTGGCTCTTTGATACGTGTAATGCTCGTGGCCGTACTCGGGGGAGTCTGCGTCTGGCAAAGGGACACGTCTCTGTGGACTGCCGCTACGTGGATGGCCTTTATGTGGATCGCCTTTATGTGGACTGCCGCTACGTGGATGGCCTTTATGTGGATCGCCTTTATGTGGACTGCCGCTACGTGGATGGCCTTTATGTGGATCGCCTTTATGTGGACTGCCGCCAGATGGACCGCTTCTATGCGGACTGGCCCTCTCATGGCCAAATTGTGCACTGTGTGTATCTCTATCCTCGCTGCTCCTCTTGGTCGAGGGGCACGTCCGCACTTCACATTCGTCAAGGTTGGCATCCTCCGCGGAACGGAAGAAATGATTCTTATTCAAATTTGCACATCCGTCTGTGTGCCTTTCTTCCCCAGTGGGACAATTTACCCTCTTCTGATACCTCAGGATGAGGTGACTGGCCCCTGGAATGGTGACTTCGACTGACTTCCCCGAAATCTGCACATTGACCGTTATGCTGGAAAAATTTGTCATGTACTCATTGTGGCAGTGGTATGCCGTGATAGGGGGGTGATGGACTACCTGCTCTGAGATGAAGAAGAATCTCCTGTGTGTCAGCTCGTATGTTTCTCCCAACAACGGATTGAATGGCTTAAACGTTCGACCGATCACGGAAGCGTAAGGAGATATGGTAAAGGCGGTCACGTATGCAAGCCTACTAGTACTTTCGACTTCTCTAGAGGCGCGCTGGAGCAGATACACGTATTGGAAATCTTCTGCCAGTCTTTGCAAAAATGAGGAGGGTTCATTCAGATAAATGGGCATCCCTATACGGGAGAGATCCTTCCCGATGCAATCCTTCAACAGGGACCACATGCTGATTTTTATGTCTGTTCGTGGACTTGGAAGTTTGGTTCTCCTCTTAATTTTGCTGTCTGTGTATATATCGATTTGGTTAAAATTCAGGCATTTTATATTTCCTTCTCTGCACAGTTGGATTAGGTGCAAGTCGTTTGGATTCGCCTCGTTCGTCTTGCTCATCTCGTCGGTGTGGTTCTTCACTGGGGCGACTTTCCCTTCTGTGTGTACATCCAACTGGAAGTGCTCCTCTACCGTTTCGCTCTTTCCTGCATCATCTGTATGGAGTGTTGATGGGCGGATGGGGGGCACTTGTTCTTCTTCTTCTTCTTTTTTTTCTTCTTCTTCTTCCTCCTCCTCCGATTTGTTCTCCTCTTCGAGTGATCCTCCACGGGTAAGACGTTTATCGTAAGTTCCCCCACAGTTGGCATGCCTATGCTGTCCCCCTTCCGGTGTGCTCTTCTCCCGCGCCGCTTCCCTGGAGAGCGGGTCACCAGCTGGAGCAACATTGAGGGGGACATTTTCCTCCTCACAAAATGACTCATCATCGCAGTCGAAAAACATGTCTTCATTTTCTTCCTCCTCACTCTGCTGATTATTTACGTACAAGTTAAATTTCTCCAAATGATTTCTTACCTTATCTTGTAACTCAATGAACCTTCTCCTGTCTTGCGATTTCTCCAGGAAATAATTCTGCTTGGCTAGCAGTTTCAACGATTTGTTCATGCATTTCAATTGCACGTTTTCTTCCTTTAAGAGCATCTCCGTGCAGCTGATGTATTTCTCAATCACAGCATCTATGCAGTCAATAGAGTTGCTCAGTTGGTAAAGTACAGGCGCCACTTTGTTATAGCTCACTTTGTAGTCGGCGTCCAATTTGATCTCCCTCAGAATGGAATTCGCCTCATTAAGTTGTGAATTTTTTATCAAGTCAGTGGTAATTTCCTTTAACGACACGATATTTTCCATAAGACAGAGGGTTGGACTTTTGTCTTCGAAATCGGTGGAGCTGATAAACACTTCGTCTAGGTTGATCTTTTTCATTCCCTGCGTCTTTACAGTTACTTCCCCCTGATCGAATGCGACACAGGAGGAAGTTTTGTCTAGTTTGCCCGTCCCTTCTGCTTTCCCATTTGGACACTTCACCCCGTGTTTGTCCTGATCGGCGTGGCTCTTCAGACCGCTTCTCTCCTCGCCAACAGAGCTGATTGTTCTACTCTTACCCAAATCATTATTGTTCTTTATGATTTTCCATATAAACTCCGAATTTGTCGACACATTAAAATTGTTCACGTCTATGTACCCCTTCTTGTTTTGTCTTCCCCGCAGATAATTCAGTTGTGCCTTTTTAAAAGATATGTACCATTTGTGTTTGTCTTCCGGGAAGTCTGCCTTCAGGTAGAGGATGCCCTGCTCCGTTGTATCAATCTCAAAGTGTAGTGGATCATCAGGGCACACTTTTATTTTGCAATGCGACAAACCAAAGGTCTCCTTTGTTGGAGAAAATTTATCTATGGAGTATCTTAATATGCCATTTTCCAAAACGAAGTATCTCGGCCTGTAACTGCCGATGATGTTTGTCCACTTGTTTAGCCACCCTTCGTGAATTATTCTCCTATCTCTGTTGTATCTGTGGGAGGGGGCTCCCCCCACATTCTGCGTGCCCCCGCCGTTGCTGCCTCGGGACTCTTCTGCACTGGTGCTCGCAAGGGAGTTCTTCTTCTCGCTGAACAGTTTTAGGTTTAGATATTTCCCCCCCAGCATGGTTCTCTGTGTTTGTACGGGTGGGAGCGGCGTTTTTAGGGGTGTCCGCTGCGTTTGTACGGGTCTGCTCCGCGTCTGGCTCGTCACTTCACCCTTCCACCCCCCCCTTGGACCCCTTCCCTCACACTTTCCCAGCTCCACTCACGCGCATCACTCGGAAGGAGTTGAGCACACCCAGACGTTCAGCGGGTCCCAACTAGAACAACTATATTTCGGGAAATAGGAAAAAGCAGGTGCCTTCTTTTTGCTTCCATCGAATGGGCAAGAGGCCCCTAACCGAGTTGTGCATAGGTGTTTATGGCTTCTGATACCACGACAGTTTCCCCTTTCGGCGTGTGTGTGGCGCAGGTAATGTTGCCAATGCCGCTCGGCGGTTGTTCGATGAGTGGGAGTAGTGAGCGAAGTAAGCAGCAGCGTAACCAGAGGAATAATCAGCGCAGTGTCTGCGTGGTACAAAAACCAACCTGCGAGAACAGCATGCACATGTAAAAGGTGTGAAAAAGAAATTGGGCATGAAAATAAGCCCACAGACATAATTCCATGCGAAAATGGGGCAGAGTAACTCCTTAGCCGTTCTTTTTTTGCAATTTGTTTTGGAGCACACCGGGGAAGGAAATATGAAGAGAAGGAGGCAGATCAGCGAGGGAAAGCGGAGGTGAGTCGAAAAAAGTGGCTAGGAAAAATTGCCCACATATGCGCATATATATAAGCGAGGGCGGAAATAGAAGAAGAAAAAAAAACCGAACAGACATAAACACACTGAGGAACGGATGAGTAAAAAAAACAATAACGAAAGGAACAACCCTTTTTTTTTATACTACTTTTAAAATGCGAGCGTGGAAGCGATTCTTTCGAAGGCCGGCAAGTGTAACTTCAAGGAAATTGGCCCACGCGTCGAGGAAAATTATACCAGGCGAGGCGATGCAAAGTGAAGCAAAACATACAAGGGAGAACTCGAATAGAGGGGCTAAGCGGCAGCAGCAAATGTGAAAGGCGGCCTTCCCCGGAAAGCCGAACAGGAGATCGAGGGGGGCGCGGTTTGCGCGTTGCTCAAAAAAGGAAAGAAAAAAATTATTTTGCTTCGTTCTTCTTGGCCTTCCCTGGTGTGGCTTGGGCTTCCCGGCCATCGAGTCCATCCTACGCGTAGTGGACCATCGGCGGATTTTCTTAATCTCCCCCTATAGGAAGGCATAACCTATTTTGCAACAACGTAAAAATGTCCCCTTCCCGTCACGGCGGCAAACTCCAAAGGGGAAGAAACCCCCCTTTGCCGTAAAATTCTGCCATCATGTGAGCTGGCATAGCTACGCACCTTTACAACTGAATCAACGCGGAAACATCTTCACCATTTTGACAAAAAAGGAAAAAAGGGAACTTTACATAGTCCCCCCTCCCCCTCCTTACGAAACAAACCGGACCAAAGCAACGTCAGCAGTTGGACAAGAAAAAAAAAAAAAGTAATAACATAACTGTTAATAAGGCATTCTTGGGGAAGTATAATCCCGGCCACACCTCACCACTGCTGTTTTGCGGCATTAAAACGTGGGATAGGCATCGCGTGTAACGATCCAATTTATGTCTTAATTGTAGACTCGAGGGGGTACGTGACCCAATATGTGTGCGTTTGTACATGCATGTGGTTATACATATGTATATATATATGTGTAGACTTCACCCATCAGGGAGATATGCTCACTCGGTGGGTGAGGGCGCGCTCGCGCCTAGAGCGAGTGCCTCGTTTAAAGCCGTTTTTCAGAACCGACTTGGGATGGGGCCCCTTCGCAAGTATCTCTCGGCAGTAAGTCTTGGTGAGACGCCTATACTGATGCGAAGCCGTCCTGACGTAAAAGAGACTGGGGCATATTTGGGACAGGCGACTGGAGCAGGTATTTCTCTTGTCCCGAAATTTCTTTATCCGACAGTACATAATAAAGAAGAAAAAGAAAAAAATGATCAACGATGGGACGATAGCTGCTATGAAGAGAACAACATAGTGGTATTTAAAATGTCTGCAAATAGTGCAGTTAATCGATTTTGGAATCTCCTTCGTTCTGTCGACAAGATAATATATAACGTTAAAGTAGGTACTTTTATTTATCTCTTTAATTATTTCCTTAGTGGATGTATAGGCCAAATTCTGTGTGTCTTTCTTCTTGGAATATAATTTTATGTGTGCAACAGTTTCTTCCGATTTCATTTTGATGATGACGTTGCTGATTAAGTTGTTGTCTACGCCTTCACCAAATTGACCCACAACTTTTATAATGTCTGTGTGTTTATGTTTTATACATGCTCCGTAAAAATGGAGAGAATATAGGGTATTAAATTCTTTTGTATATTTCGAAAGAAATTTTTTCACATGTTTGAAGCGAAATTTAACCTTCCCCTTTATCCGTAAGAATATGTGCAAGGATATATCTTCATATTTTTTTTCTTCATCTTTTATTTGAGCATTCTTATCGTAACCGAACAGATATTTTGCCATGACGAAGGTTGGCTTTGTGTAGTACCCCCCAAAATTCTCATTGTACAAAAAATGGTCTATCAAAATGTTGTAAACATTTTCTATGGTCAGCTGAACATCGCATGAGTCGTCTTCGATCCTATTTTGCGCTTCCCCCTTATTCGTTATTAAAACTTGCACTACAATTTTGTCCCTGTTTGTCTCTACGTGGAAGTAGTTTTCTGGGATGTCCTCCGCTGTGCCGCTAGAATCGCTGTCGTCATCGTGTCGGTCACTCTGGGTGGGTGCTGCACCTGGTGGGGTTTCTTCCAACTTGCTCATCACGCCATCCCAGTGGGAAGTCCACATCTTGTCCTCGCCGCTCGTCCGATAGCCCACAACATGCAGCTGGGGCAAGCACACCCGGGTGTATTTGTCAATTATGAAGGCCAAGTTTGCGTGCCCGAGGTAGCTGGGGTACAGGGCGTGTATGAATTCTTCCAGAATGTGCTTCAATTCGGCCTCAATGGTGTAAAGATCTTCCTGCTGGAGCGTGACGACATCGCCATGAGCACGGGCAGCGGCACCCGCGTTTGCATTTGCGTTTGCCTCTTCGTTTTTGTTTTCCTTTGCGCCTTCGCCAGGGGGGTGATTCCTCTCCAGCGACACGTACAACAATATGCCACCTTTATTAACGGACAATTTGTACCGCATAATTTTTCGTAAAAAGTTCAGGCTCATCCACTGGTTTAAGGTATTCTCGTACACGCACTTAACCATGTTTCTTTTTTCCGCCTCGTCCAGCGATTGATAGCTAGCCACTATCGCCACGTAGAGTATGTCTAGGAGGAGGTGGGCTTTCTTGGAACTTTCGCTGGAGTTATATATTTGCTCATTCGGGAAGGGGACCATCGCCAGGACGTTTCTTTTGTGCCTCCCGTTTTCCACACTCTTAAGCATTTCTCTCTCAACTTCCCTTTCTATTTCTTCATCCACTTCATTTTTTTCGTAGATCTTCCTGTACTGCTCTTGAGATATGAATTTAATTTCATTGTACAGGGTCATGTACACATCGTCGCTTTTTTGGTTTATCCCAAATTGGATCAACTCTATCGTCCTCACCACGTCATCCAAGGTCATGTCTCTTTTTAGAAAATTCGCTTTTGTGAGGAACTTCATAAACACTAAGCGGAAAAAGTGATAGTCATCCTGGGTAAACGTTTTGGACAGCTTATTATTGTAGAACTTCTTTACGAAGAAGTTGTCTTCTTTTTTGATGTTGCTTCTTTGGAGGATGGATCCTCCTATCCCTTCATGCAGAAGGGCCACCACGCAGTAGAGGATGCAGAGCAGGACCTCTTTACCCATTTTGGTCTGCGTGAAAGATGCGTTCTCCGTTGGGGTCTTCCACCCTTCCGCGCATTGCTGTTAGGCATTAATGGGGAGCATCTGGCTGGGTCTTTCTTAATATGGTGCCTACAGACAGCTGCAAAGCATGGCAGCTTCGTCTACTTTACCACCTGGCAAATTGCCTTACTCTAGAACGCTCAAAACAAACGATGTTGTATTTGCGCACTTCGCCGGGATAGTAACATAAACCCAAAACAAAAAAATAATCCAAATAAAAAAATTAACGCTATAAGGAGCCAACCGAACAACTGCGTGGGGGAGAAAAAATCTCCAAAAAAAGAAAAAAAAAAAGCCATTTTAGACAAAATTTAGAAAAAAAAATGCACAAGCTAACCGCTTTGTAACGTTAAAGAGTTGCATGTAAGGAGGTGTTTCAAGCTTGTCCAATTTAATAATTTATTTTTTTTGCTTATTTTTTTTTGAGAACTATTTTAGCATATGCGCTATCGGCAATCATTTAGCAAAAGGTATTTTTTTAAATGTGTTAAGCGGTATCTAGGACTTGCGAGAAAAGTGGTAGAAAAAGATGTTCGAATAAAGAGAACGGACGCCGCTTTCTCCGCGCTCGCACGAATGTGATGTGTGCCTGTCTACCCTTCGAGTGGTGCGCCGTAAAGTGCAGCCTCGCCATAAGTTTAGAGTGGCTATTTGGAAGGACCAAATAATGGAGGCATCTTAGCCGAAAGATATTTCCCAAAAAAGGGTTGCATCTTTTTAGCATATATTTGTAACGTACTGTAAGGAAAATTTTAAAACTGCACAATTTCCGGAATGTTATAAAATGCGAAGGCGGAAATCACCCTCCCCTTTTGCATGTTTCATTTTTATCGGGTGTTCCTCCCACCTCATTTGTTTAACCAGCTTCCGGCATTCCTAGCATTTTGGGGGCGTCACAAATGGGGCATTATGGTGAGGAGAAAAAATAAACTTCACCTCCTCTTTTGACAACGTGTAGGAAGGAGGACTTCCTTCGGTGGGCCTTCCCTGTTGAACCAATAAAGAGACCTCCGTAAGGGTGGTGGCCAAAGCGGCAAACATCATCCGCAGTAGTAGTGATGGCTCCTTCTCCCTGCAAATGATCACAATATCGTTTCGCAATTCGCGCTCAAGCGAGCGGGCTTGTGATGCCCCATTTTCACGTAAACCAAAACTGAGAAATGGTAAAAGGGACTGAAAGAACTGCAAATATCACGCGTGGGTGTCAATACGTATGTGTGCACAAATATATGGGCCTTTCGACATATATATAACCAACCCAGCGTGAAATTAAAAAAGTTACAATTTTGCCTGCCTCGCAGTCACTTCCTTTTTTACCTTATCTGTTAATAATCTTTTTTCTCTCTTTTTGGATGAAGAGTGCGAAAATATTATGAACAGGTAAGGAAAAAAAAGGAAAAAAAAAAAAAAAGTATTCACGAAGGGGCCAAAAAGTTGGTAAACAAAAATGTGGCAATATTTTTACGCGTCGATTATTTCGTTACACATAACAAAACAATAATTTGTGTACCTTCCTTTATTCTTCTTTTTGGCACTTTATTGTTTTTTCTTCCTATTGTTGATGAGTTCCTCCTTTTGCGTTTTTTTTCCTCGCCAGTTTCACTTCCTTTCTACACGTTTAATGTTCTTTTTTCCACACAAAGGGATGTGTGCCCTTGCTGTGCATCTTAGTGGCTACGCGCACTTTCCCACAAACACAAACGAAGTGAACCGCGCCAGCGTTTTTCATTTCTACATAACACTCGTTTATATAAGGCGTAGAAGTAGAACCTTTATACAATACGTTTTTTTTTTTTTTTTTTTTCCTCTTTGCTTCCTTCCCGTTTTAACTTTTTTCTTTTCCCTTTCGGTACCGCCACTCCTTTCCCCCAGTGGGGTACTACTTCGTTACATTCAAATTTTCCCGTCACACTTGTAAAATAAGCCTCCTAAAATGCTTGATTTTACTTCTTTAATTTGTACATGTTGAATTAATTTTTTCTTGTGCAGCACAAGCAAATGTACACAGTGTTAATTGTTTAAATGTCCCAAAGGAGTTATTTTTTCAAAATACAGGCTGACGCAGTTTTATGTTTTGTACATGCTTATATTATTACTTCCTTTGCTGCGTTTGTTTAAAGAAATACGCAATTTCGGGTGAGTGATCATATGCCCATCTTAACTTACACAACGTTTGTCTTTCCCTTTTCCTTCCGTGTTTCCCTTTTGCCATGCCATTGCGCAGGTGTACCACTTTGTATACGTGGCATATTATACAATCTTCCCATTTGGTGGGGCATTTGAAAGAAGGGTTATCAGTTTAACCGCCCACTGAACGGACATAGAACTTGCGCAAATACCCAAAAAAATTAAACGAGGCGAGCTAAAGTTGGACAAAATAAGGGGAAGCGGAGTGAAGTGAAATAGAAGAAAGTCTTTCCTCACTAACGTTTTTCGCTTCGGACGTATGTACCTATTTTTTCATACGCCATATATATATTTGCCAAAAATGAAACAAATAAGCACACACAATTTTTAAAACTAAGAATGCGAAATTCGTCAAACAGGAAAAAAAAAAAAATAAATCTCTCGAATGCATATAAAAAAGATACCGTCCACGTTGCGCATTATAGTTATAATATAATACCCTTTTTTTATGCGTAACGCGAAAACATTTTTTTAACCTCTCGTCGTGGGGACCAAATCGAAGTGAAAATCGCGTAGGGGGGAGTGACAATTGCCAAATAATTTGACTATTATTTTCTTTACAGCTGTTAAGAGACTGATCGTTTGCAAATTTCAAACTTGGCAAAAGTACATCGCGGGAAGGGAATTTTTTAGAAATAAGCCTCTTTCACCTATTTTTTCGTAATTTCCGAGTTTTGTCACCGCGGGGGGCCCATGCGTAACGCAACGCATGTATGTTGTTAGTATGTATTTTAGGTACTAATGCATGTACGTACGAATGTTCTTTTGTATGTACGTTTGTTTGTACGTTTGTATGTATGTTGGTATGTACGCTGGTATGTACGCTTCCGTAGCCCACTGTGTAGTTGCGAATGCGCACGTTTGCATGTACACTTACGCGGATGCATGACTTAATACGCTCGGGTAAATTCGCCTTCACGCGTACGTCATTATATATTTGTATAATATCCTTGTGCCTTTTTTTTCCGCCGTTAACGTACTTCCGAACTGAGGGGAAGCACAGATGATGCATTTGCCCAAGGGCGAAACAAGCAGGTGAGAAATTTTTCTCCCCAGAAGAACGCAAACCGTTCGAAAGAAACGGGAAGGAAGAAACACACCAGGGTGAGTAACTCATTCAACGATTGTAATCACGCGGAGGAAGTTCCTTCTCGCTACGCAGAGGTAGAGAAGAGGGGAAGCACTTTGGCGGAAAAGCGGAAGGAAGCCAAGTGAAAGCAAAGTAGAAGCACCGTCCACGCCAAGCGGAAGCGAATTGGAAGCACCGTGCACGCAAAACCGACGCAATCCCAGAGCGATAACCATGCTAGATTCATTAAGCAGCAAGGAGAAAGAGGAATCGCACGGGAATCTCGACAGCGTCGACGTGAGTGAATACAGCCATGTGATAAACAACTCCCACAGCTCGGAGGAAGAAGACGATGAGTCGTCATCGGATGATTACATCGAAGAGGAAGAAGTGCTGAGAGGCAGTCATAACAGGAGCAGTTCATATGGTGGTAGTAAAGCTAATCCAAATAGGAGCTGTGGGCAAGCGTATAATGACCAAACCGAAGGAGTGACCAATTCGGACAAGAGATGTACGAACAGCCCAAATGACACAGGCATGTTAAAAAAGGTTGATCGTGAAAAAGGAGAGCAAGACACAAGCGGGACCAACAAAAAAAGCAGAAGGAGCGAACAGAATGAAAACCCAAACCAAAACAAAAAGCAGAACGGCCAACCCTATATCTACGTTAGGGTAAAAACAAACGACTGTAATAACAACACCATTAAGTGCAAGATAGAGAAAAACATCACTGTAAAAAAATTGAAAAAGAGCCTCAGCAAGATATTACACAATGGTGAAGAAGAGTATAGGATCATTTATAGGGGAAGACAGCTGAAGGATGTTGAAGTTCTGGCCAAATACAATATAAAATTTAATGATATCCTATACGCTATGAGAATTCATAGGAAAAAAAGCGGAAAAGATGCCATCCTGGATTCAGGAATCACCAGCTCGCAGTTACGTACCATAAGAGAGGAATACAACGACTCGGTGAAGTTCCCCCAAAACGATAATATATCAAAATTGATTTCGTCCATGTTTGATAACAGTGATTTTCTCAAATCAATAATGGATTCCAATAAGCAACTGCAGAAGTTAAGAGAGAAAAATTCAGAGATAAACCACATGCTGAATGATTCGCAGTCATTGAAGCAGTCATATGAGATGATTAAAAATCCCTCATTAATGAAAGAAATGATGAGGAACACGGATCGAGCCATAAGTAACATAGAAGCCATTCCAGGCGGGTTCAACACTCTCAGACGAATGTATCACAACATTCAGGAGCCCATGTATGATGTCAGTGAGGCATCAAATGAAAATAAAAAAAATAAAGTTAAACACTATGACTTAAAAGCTTCTTCTCCACCCACCAGTGAAGCCTTCCCGAACCCCTGGGCTTCCAAAGATGTCAATTCAAAAAATAAGAACAACCAAAATAATGATCTAGATAAATATCTTCTCATGAATAATAATTTGTTTAACAACACCAATGATTTTTTTAAATCGAGCAAGAAGAACAGGGGCAACGGGATGGGAGGCAACAACAACAAGAGCAACAGCAACAGAAGCAGCCTCTTCAAGACCAACATCTTGGATCTGCTGCAGAATTACCAGGCGCCTCCACAAAGCAAGCTGGGCGGGAGGAGCGGCGGAAGCGGCATGAACGGCATCAGCAGCCTCAACGGGATGAACGGCATGAGCAGCCTCAACGGGATGAACGCCATGAGCAACCTCTTCAGCAGCGCGCAGATGAACAGACGGCAGATGTACCACGGGTTACTCAACAGCGGGCTGTTCCGCGGGGGGCTCCTGAACAATGGGCAGTTAAGCAGAGGGCAGATAAGCAGCGGGTCCAGAGTCAGTGGTCCCCCGGCTGGCGGTACCCCCAGTAGCGCCCCACCCGCTAGCGGTCATTCAAATGGCACGTACCCGAGTAGCGCTCATCCCACTGGCTCTCCCCTGGGCGATCTGCTCAACAACAACCTATTTAACGATAAGCTACTTTTCGGATCAAACTTCACCAATGATTTTATTAACCAGTACACACAAGTGCAAAAGAAGAAGGACGACCCAGAAATGGCCAATGCGATAAACCAAGTAATTCTAAATGTGAAAGATCAAATAAATAATGAGACCGATTGGAAGTCCATGCTAAACGTTCCCTCGATTGTCAGCCCGAATGGGGAGGTAAGCCCTTCGAAGAGTAGCAGCGCCAATCGTGGCGATGAAGAGAGGGGCGTAGCTGATGGGGTTGGCAAAAGTGATGATGAAGGGCAACTCCTTTTGGAAGGCAAAAGGAATGCCAGCCAAAATCTAGTAAAGGAGATCACCTCTGCGGACAAAATGGAAGAGGTTAATACCAAAGGGGGGGACGTCGACCCGGGGAATCTGCACAACGTTGTAAATGTGACTTCTTCCAAGGGAGACAGTTCGTTGGAGGAAGGGTCTCCAAATTTGTTACCAAATGATGTGAGTAGCTCCAATGGGTGTAGCTCCCCAACTTCTGCGCTGCTCAATATGCAGCTAGGGAGTGGCAACCTGGGCGGTGTTAGCTCCACCCCGCTAAACATCCTGGAGAATCATGTCAACAACCTGGATTTGAGAAGCATGTCTGAGGCGATCAAGTTATTGAGCAGCGGTGGCGGCAGTGTCGGTGGTAGCGCCCAGAATGGACAGGAATATTTCTCTAAGCTGTACGCCGAACAGCTGAATTCACTACGAGAAATAGGGTTCACGGACCAGCAGAAGTGCATAAAGGCGCTAATTAACACGCAAGGGAATATAGAAAGGGCCATCGACTTCTTGTTGGCCGACATGAATGGAGATCAGGATTGAGGTGAACAGGGGGAGGCAAAGAAAAGAAAAAGAAATAAAAATAGATAAACAAATGAATAAATAAATAAATATGGGGAGGAAGTAGCTTGGGTGCCCAGGGGGGAAAACTGGCGAGACATTCGCCCCCCCATCGTTATCATCAGCACAATTCTTTGATCAACCACATCTTTAACAAGTTGCCGTTGCCTGGGAGGGGGTCAGCGTAACTTTCGTTCGTTTTGCTTCCATTTGCTACATTTTGCTACGTTTTGCTTCTTCTTGCTTCCTTCTTCGTTTTCCCTCCATTTGCTTCGTTTTGTGTGCCCAAATTTCTTCTTAAACTGATGCTGCCATATGGCTAAAGTGAAGCATGTACAGTGTGTGAAGGTGAGTGTGAGCCGACGTGCCTGCACAGGTATATGCCCCATCTCGGCTGACCATGCACACTGGGGTTAAGGGGCATTTCGCGGAAGGAAAGGGAGGGGCTGATAATGATGCAGGGCGAAGGAGGATATCTCGTTCAGCGCATGAATGGGCAATGTAGAGTTCATATATTGGCAGGGCTTCTATATACCCGATGTTGTGTAATGCGCGCCTTTGCGCCGCTTCGTTCCGCTTCTCATCGCTTGGCGCCCTATGCGAGACCAAACTTGCAGGAAAAGAAATGGTTGACGTACTGATTCTGAGAGCCAACCCACTTGCAATTGTCATTTTGGCACTTAATTTTAACGTTGGAGTGAATTTTGTACAACAGGGCCATAACTCCACTGGAGTGTTCATCGATTTTGATTAGTCCATCTGACAGGTGTACGGAACAGCTGGGACATTGTATGTTTGGCCTAACCGCGTGGAGGACGAGGTATCCCCTTAAGCAATCGGAGCAACAGGAAGAATAGCAACATGGAAATAATATGGGTTCATAAGACAAATTTATTTTGCATATTGAGCAGATAAATTCGTCTATATTGATGAGAAGTATCGATGAGGGGATTTTAAAGGTTATTTCTTTTTCCCTTTTTGAATAAGAATCTTTTTTTGCCCACGTTGCGCGAACTCTGCTTCCTCTAATGCGAATTCCACCTGCACATGCAGCGTTGAGAGTCCTCCGTGCTTCCATATTTGTTGAAAATCGGACAAAGGCGTACCCCGATGTTGCTGTCCATTCCTTGTTGGGGTGTCTTGATTTCTTATCGCAGACGACCATGGTTAAGTCTACATTCCCGAATTTGCTAAACACGGATAGGAGATCCTTCCGTGTGGTATTCGATGGCACATTGACGATTAAGGTGTATTTAGCCAGAGATTTCGACAGCCTCTTACCGAGCGTGACATTCTCTCCATTGTGATTATCCTTTTGGTTCCCCTCCTCAGTATGTTTAACCATGCTGCTTCTCTGTATATCGCAATCCTGTGGCAATACACTATCAGAAGAAGTTCTGAACCCATCATCGTGCTGCGTTTTATTTTTGTTTTTTCTCTTTTTCTCCTCTTCCATCGCGTAATTGAGGAAGAAGTTACCACAGCAGGAGTTGTAGCTATTGGGCTGATTGGCCACGTTCCAATCGTGTTCCGCGCCTAGGTCTGGTTGATGGTCATCGTAGGGTCCAGGCATTTCGTACGCGAAATGGTACGAAGGGGTAACTTCACCATCTTGCCGCTTCTCACCCCATCGGTTTTCCCCGCCAACGTTACACGAATTGGTGAAGTCCATCCCCTCCGTTTCGCACAGAGACAGTGCAAAACGATTTCTTTGCGAAAGCAGCGTTTCCTCCATCTGGGTCAGACGCGTCAAATTTGTGTTATTCCCCATTTGGACGTTTCCCCAGTTGTCGCCTCTTTGCAAAGCGGTGTAATCTTCTTTGTGAGTCTCTCTAAAGTGTCTTCCCAACGGAACGCAGTTTGGTGACGCCGATTGGTTTCCTCCCTTATCAATTCTACCCGTTTCCATTTCTTCCTCCTTGTGATGTGTCCCCAGTTTGTCCAAAATGAAATTCTCCCCTAACATATACTGCATGTAAGTTTCCTTCTCGTCCGTAAAGGTTCCTATTTGGGGCTGTTCCTTTTCCTGAACAGATGGATTTCCATGGTGGTCATAAAATGGGAAGAGCGCACGATCATCCAAAAGGGGGAATTCTTCTGTCCTCTTCGTGAACAGCGCGTCTTGCGCTATCTTCAAAAAGGGGTCCTCCATCATTTTGAAGTTTGGGTCCCCCGACTTGGGGATCCTCCCTTCTCCGTGAGAACCATTCGCTACTTGGCTCTCATTTGGGAAAAGCCCAAATGGGGGTAAAAGCCCATGGTTGTTAATTGTCCCAATGGAAGCGGCCACCGGGGTAGTTTCCCCATGTATAGTTGTCCGATGCGTAGCCTCCTCACGTGGGGGGGATCCCTCCCCGTCTGATCTGCCCAAAACGTCTCCTCCTGCATCTTCCCCGGGCACCCACACTTGGTCGGTCCTTAAGTCGTAATAGTAGTTTTGGTTGAGCGTCTGTTGGAGGATTTCGTCCCTGAGGAAGGCTTCGAACTTGCTCACATGGGTGAGTGCAGCGGTGAGATCAGCGGTTCGTGCAGAGCTGACTGCAGAGGTGGCTAATTCCCCCCCTAGCAGATGCGACCTCCCGGGTGGAGGAAAAAATGAGGTGAGCAAATCGGAAGCTGTGGAACGCGGAGGGAGGGTCATCTCTGCTAATCCATTTTGTGCATATGTTATCCCCCAGTCTGGGTTAACCCCCCCGCTGATTCCAACCCGATTCGTTCTACGTGTACCGATCCCCCGTTTGTTGTCTTCTACCGCCATTTTATCACCCCGTTTAGTCAGTTTATCCTGGTGCCAATTGTCACCTCGATTTTCAGTCAAACTGTGCTGCTTCGTTAACTCCAAAAGGTTGTTCCCTCTGTCTTCCCCCCGAATGGATTCTTCCTCCTGCTTCCGTTGTTCCTCCTGCTTATGCTCCTCCTCCATTGCCCCATAAATGTCCAGTCCAAATTGTTCCAAGTTGTATTCACATGGCAATAGGCTGTCATCCCCCCATATGTGGACATAATCTTCTTCCATGTGGGAAGTAGCTACCTTCTGGAGGTTATTGAAAAAGACTCCTTCCTTCTTTGATTTATAGGAAGCACCACTGATATGGAGAAAATCATTTGTGAGGCTCTTTCCCAATATTTGTGTGTCTCCATTCGGGTGTCTACCACTGGTCGGTTGACCCTCCAGATTATCCCCCCCAAGGTGGTACTCTCCCAAATTAGGTATGTCTAATTTGTAATTAACCTTTTCCTTCCTTTCTGTGGAATGATGTTCCTGTTTTCCTCCCTCTGTGATGGTTAGTGTCTCCACGACATCATCCCTTTGGTTATATCTCTTGGATAATCTAGATAGGGCATACTGAGTGGCTTCTTCGAACGTAATCTGGTTTGAACTTGACTTTGCTGAACTTCTGTGAGAATCCACTCCTGTTGAGACGCTATTTATTTTGAGTTTTTCAATATGGTTCATATGCTTCATATGTTTCGTATGTTCGATATGTTTACCAAATGGGAGAGTATCATTGACTTGGCTTTGTGTCTCTTCAGCGTCGTCCCTCATGGGAGTATTATCCACTCCAGTGTCTCCCTTCATTTTCTCCAGAAAGTGCACCAACTTTTGCTAGATGATAACCCCACAGAGACGGACTTTTCCCCTGAAAAGAGGACACCGCGCTGGCCCAAACAAAGGAAATCACAAAGCAACTCCTTCCAGGTGAGCTACCCTCGCTTGACTCATGGCAGGTTTGCCCAACTAGCCAAACGCGTTAACCGTGACGGATGATGCTGCCCCAAGTGTACTTTATCAGCATGGCTGAATAGACACTTGTGTGATTACCTTGCAAGAAGGAAAATCACATAGCTCTGTTTAACTATGCCTATTAGGGAGGTCACCCTGGAAAGGTAACAAGTGTAGAGGCAAAAATGGAGATGCCCTCAAATGGAGTAATTCAAAGCGCGGATGAGGTGCCTTCAAATGGATCAATTCACAACGGGGACTTCCAAAAATGGGGAAGAGCGCAACGGACATGTGTAGTGTGTATGTAGACTATTGGAGGGGAAAAAAAGAAAAAAAGAAAAAAATGCGTCAAATGGGTCGAATGGGTCAAATGGGTCAAATGAACAGATGAACAGATGAAGCGTTACACTTCTGATTTACCCGTGTGTGAAACTGGGCCCTGTGGGGGACTGCCAAACGGAACTTGCGACAATTCCAAACACACATTAGTAGACACCAGCTTGGAATGGTGTGAACAGACGGGAAGTAAAAACGAATAAGCTCAGCGCAGTTGCATTGTGAAGCAAGAAAAGAAAAGAACGAAATCAAATGAAAGCAAACGAAGTAAAGTAAAAAATACACACAACACATGAAGGGAACGAAAGGGAGTACCACCAAACGTTCCTCTTCATGGTGTTGTCCCATATGGCTGGGTCGGCCTTTTCTTGATGGGATGAAAATGTACCTCCATTTTTACACCTACCGTGAAGGGTTATCTACGTGTAAAAACTGTTCTTTAAGGAAGGATTTTTTTTTTTTTTCCAAATGGGGGATTCAACAGGATCTAAAAATTAGTAGTCCGTTCCGTGGCAGCTACGTTTTGACTGACCTTTGATAAGTGCCTTTTTCTGCGGAAAGTTGGACCTCGTCCTGTACATCCCGCCCTGACACCCCATCCGCTCCATCTGTTGTGTCAAATGGAACCAAGAACAATTCGCCCATTCACGCAAGCACATCGACACAAGTGCCTCCTTTACACTCCCAAAATGAAAAAATTGACTAGATGAAGCACACACAGAAACGGACGCTTCACAAGGGAGGCATTTCCCGGGCAGTTCACACGAAAGACACACCTCCAGATTATTTTGTGGAGTGCCCATGTTGCGCTATTTTATTTTATCTTATCTTATTTTTATTTTCTTTTTTCGTTCGTCATTCCCAGAGGTGATTACCAAGAAGTGGTTCATTTGGGGCAAACCCCTTTTTATGCGGAAGAACATAACCCACTTGGCATTTCTACTCCATCTGCTTAACTGAACAGTGGTCATAAAGTGAGCGGTCGTTTCGTTAATTATTCTATTCACCTGTTCGGCTACATTTTAAGGCGTTTTTTTTTTTCTTTTTTTGCACAGATAAAGTATATCCATGTTAGGACATATAAGAAGAAAAATTCTTTCTTCATCAGTTCAATTTTTTGCGGAATTAGCAATTCACGCCAAGGCAGCCAAATTAGTCTTGTGTCTATTTCTAATTAGTGGGCACGATTCATTTTTTTAAATGTGTAGCTAGCTAGGGGAGCAAGCGGCACACAGGGGTGTAAGCGTATGTGTATGGATATATGGGTGTATGGATATATGGGTGTATGGATATATGTGTGTAAGTATATATATCTGTGTAGGTATGTAGTTACCGCCCATGTGGGCTACCTTTTAATTTTGCCCCAACCACTTGTGCAGCTGACTGGTGGTCCACCATTGGTCCTGCGCAGTGCGTTCGTAAAAAAAATAAAATAAAACAGAATAAAATAGAGTAGAAAAAAAAGAGTTAACTGAATGTGGGGAGTTTCCATTTGGGGTAAAAATAGGGGGAAAGTAAAAAGAGTAAAAATAAGGTAAAAAATGGCGTAAAAGGGCGTAAAAATAGAATACAATATAATAGTGTAAAATATGCGACACGGCATCCTGCGAGGGCTACTTCCACAACGCCTCCCTGCGACAGGCGCTCGCACGCAAAGGGACGCACCTAAATTACAGCTACGAATTCGCGGGAAAGGGCGTGGAAGGGATTCTCCATTCGTTGTCTATGTCGAAAGGAGGTATAGTTACAAGATGAACTGACGCCTTACACATTTAAGGAATGAGCATGCACGTGTATATAACCCTTCTGTCAAGGGGAAAGAAAAAAAAAAATCCACACAACCGCTTCTTTCCATCATCAATATTGACAATGTGCATGTGTAGCATCTGTTTTCGCTCCCACTTGTGGAGGGTACAAATTGGAATACCTCCCACCGTGCGTGGTGACTTCCCCAGGATTGTTAGTCACCCAGTGGGGTTAGGGGACAGAACTTCCTCCTTCCGCTTGCCCGTTCCGCTTTGCATGCATAGGATTTTATAAACCCACATGTAGATAAGCATACGCGTGGTATGACACGCAGGTGGGTGCACCTCCCGACGGGTGAACCCCCTTCATGGCTGCTCCTCGCGACGCTCCTCAGGAGTCAACTTAATCAAATCGTCGATTCGCAAAATTGTGATGGTAGCTTCTGTGGCGAACCTGATAGACTTTATTTTGCTAATCATGGCTTCTAAAACTCCGTTCTTAAGATTGTTGGCAACTTTTCCGTTCACCAAATCGAGTCCATACCACCTATAGTCCTTTGGATCCTCCGTGTTCATGACTTGAGATTTGGTGTGATATGCCCGTAATTTACAGACTAAATCTATAGAATCGTAAGAAGCGTTTAGGGCTAATATTTTTGGAATCACCAATAAGGACTCCGCAAATTCTGCAATGGCTAGCTGTTCTCTAGAACCCAAAGTTTTGGCAAAATCTTCGAGGTAAACAGATAGAGCAACTTCTACACATCCTCCCCCAACAACAACGTAGTTACTTTCAAGAGCTCTGCTGACTGAACAGAGAGCATCATGAATGGATCTTTGCATTTCATCCAAAACAAAATCGTTTGCCCCTCTTAACAAAATGGTATTGGATTTGGACGTTTTACAGCCTTTAAAAAACATAACGTCCCAATCACCTACTCTTTCTTCATACACTTCATCACAGTAGCCTAGGGAAGCTGGTTCAAATTTCTCCGTTCCATCAAGGGAGGACATGGTGAGTCTGATCTGTCCATTGGTCAGTTTTGCAATCCTCCTCAAGTCATCTTTGCTCACTCTCCTAACAGCAATGGCACCAGATTCAACAAAATATTTTAGTGGCATGTCGTCTATACCTTGTGTGGTAAGGATCACATTGGCACCTGATTCTAGAATTTTATTTACTCGTTCTTTGGTTATATCTTTCTCCCTTTGTCTTATTTTTTCCAACTCAGTGGGATCATTTATGTTCACCTGAACCCCCAGATGCAGTCTATACTGCTTTAGCGGAAAATCTAAAAAGGCAATCTTCGCATTCTTCACGCCAGTAGGCATGGACTGTGAAGCTCGTCCAGTCATAATTGCATAACCATCAATCAATTTAGAATCTAGTGAACTCATTCCATGCACTTTTATTACATTCACAGACGACACAGGGTACTTTGTCTTACCCGCATCGTTAACAATTCGTACAGACTGAATAGCATTCGATACCATATTCGCAAAGTAATCGGATTCGTATCCAATAAATTTAGAAGACAAGGTTGTTTTCGCAATGTTAATAATGACATCTTTTCCTAGATTGCTCACCCGTTCGCTAAGTTTCTCTTTAATATACTTAACGGACTCTTTCATTGCCAATTTGTACCCACAGATGACGGTCGTCGGGTGGATATCCATTTTGATTAGTTCGTTTCCTCTTCTTAACAGCTCCGATGCTAGCAACACAACTGAGGTGGTTCCGTCTCCTACTTCCTGGTCCTGCAGTTCGGATAGGTTTACTAAAATTTTCGCGGCTGGGTGCTGCACCTCCAATTGTTTTAGGATCGTTGCTCCGTCATTTGTGATCGTCACGTCTCCAATGTTATCTACCAGCATCTTGTCCAATCCTTGTGGCCCCAGGCTCGACTTCAAAATGTTCGACAGCGCCTGCACGGCGGTGACTGAGAAGGGGGATAGGGGGGGGAGAAAGAGGCGAGTTTAAGCGGTCCTGCGAATTGAACCATGAAGGGCACTCACCCAGAAAATGATGCACCAAATGATGCAGAAATTGATGTACCACTTTGATTGCGTGCGGGGACGGCTTCCCCCGCTGCGCTTCTTGCCCTCTTTGCACTCCTACCGTTTGCCGTTCTCACATCTTGGCCGCTTTCCCGATTCCCGTAGATGCTTAAAGACATTTTGGCCTACTAAAAGTGGCACTCGATTTTGTAATCTTATCCAAAGGTACGAAAAAGTACGCTCGGTACGAAGCGGTACGCGCTTGTTCTGATGCGTTCTTTGCTGTTCCTCTGCGCGAGGCGATCACTCATTAACCTTCCCCTTTGGCAATTCGCGTGTGCGCAAATGTAGAGATAAGATCAATATATGCGCGTCGTGGGGGTAGTACGTAGACTTTTTTCCTTCGAAAAAGAGAAAGTTGGGGAATCTCTCCCGTTGCTTTTGTCACGAAGGCATAATGTTTTTGCTTACACTTGTTTGGATGAGGGGGAAACGCAAAAAAAGGGCGAAAAAGGATTTAATAAGAAAGGGGGGGAAATGGTGAAAAAAAAAGCATGTACAAAATGGCATGCAAAATGGCGTACAAAATAACGTACAAAATGACGTACAATCGAATGCACAAAATGGCCTACAAAATGACGTACAATCGAATGCACAAAATGGCCTACAAAATGACGTACAATCGAAAGCACAAAAGGACGCTACAATGGCTGGCGTAGAAGGAAACGGATGTAGCTTCGCTTCCTCCATTTATAATGGCAAAAAAAAAAAAACGCACTCAACTGGTATAGCGTAGCGTGGCACGCATTGGGTACGCATTGGTACGCATAGGTACGCATTGGTACGCATTGGTACGCATTGGTACGCATTGGTACGCATTGGTACGCATAGGTACGCATTGGTACTCATTGATACGCATTGGTACTCATTGGTACGCATTTTTTTTTTCTTTTGCGAGTGCGCCCCGTTTCAATTCAAACGTTATTGTGCTGTCCCAGTTGGGTATCAAGATGGTGGTAGGACTAAGAACATGATTATTCGTGTGCCCTATCAGGTTAAGTTCCTCAATTGGTAGGGTGCTGTCACAATGGATCTTTCTACTACTCGAAGGTTTAGTCTCTTTTTTATTTTTTCCCAAGCCTACCCTCCGGTGTTTAGGGACATTTTCATCACCTCACCCCAGCACATTGGTCACATGCGACAAGGGAACACACGGTTCACGTAAAATTATTTAAAACCAGTTTCGTGTCAAAGATAAAAGCGGGCATACAAGGTAACATGATTTGGAGTTACCACCACGTTAAGATGCCACTTGTTGGCTATTTTTTCCCTCCCATATTGATGCTTCTTAAAAGAGAAAACATTTAGAGGATCGCTTATTTTTTCCACCCATCACGATGTAGCTATATGTACCAGACCCGCAAAATGATATCGTCACGTCGGAGAATTCAAAAAATGGTTCCAGCGGGTGTAGACCCGTCCAGCATACCCCCAGTTGGAGGTTTCATTTTGATGTATCTGCCTCTAGTATAGGGTTAGCATAAGTGAAGGTACACCATATTAAGTCACACGGTGAAGTACTCGTTAAGGATTATTTTGATAATGTGAAAGCCAACTTTGATCATTTTTATTTACCCCTCCGCTTAAGTATACTAGGGTGCCTATATGCATACATATAACCGGAGCTACGCCCGTTGTCGCAAAATTGTGCGTGTGTGTTCAGCCCCATGGGTGTTAATATTAGATGGGTATTTTACACACATACAAGTGGGCGAAAGAGCATGTCTATGCGGTTATTCCGCACTGCCTTAAATCGGTCTTTATTTCGTCACTCTGGAGTGTCACTCGAGTGGGGGAAGCTGGCACATCTGAGTAGAAATCGAGAGGAGACGTGCACCCACAGTTTAAGGTTACTCCCATGATATACACCGGTGCGGCGCCTTTAAGCATGGTTGCAATTTTTGAGGGCGAGAAGGGTACGCTCCGCCACGGCGTGGATGGAACGCCTCGCGATTCAGTCCGAGGGGAACAAAATTGGGGCAGTTCGCCATAAAGGAGGCACGAATCGCTCCTTTATAAATTGCATACATTACATGCGCGCACATTATGTTAGTTCAAAACGGAAAATGGAGGTGCTTATACGCAGATTTCCAGCGCCCTCCCGCAAAATGCAGCGTTATCCCCGCCCTTTTCAGGGGCTTCCTCTTAGCGCGTGCTTTCTTGGCCCCTCGAAAATCGAACAAAATAAACTCCCAAAAATGCTTCCTTTCCTTTTAAAGAGAAACTTCCAAATTCCACTTTACATTCATTGTGGCATCCTCTAAGGGGATTTATCAGCCACCCCATCCTCCCTGGCGAAGGACCCCTGGGAAATTATTACCCTTAAGCGAAACGGGTGATATGCGGCAGAAAGGAAACCTTTTCTTTGTCTTTTAATTTTCCCCATTGATTTAAAAAAGTGATACAAATGAATGGGAAGAAAATACACACACAAGTGTACCTTTTCGCGGCGGCTCATTCAATAATCCGTGTGCAACTCCCACATGTTTAGAAAACTTTTTCGGACGCCAAAAGTAGCCAATCTCTCATTTACAGTGTCTTCTTATTTACACAGACCGCAAAGAGCGCATCACTGCCGCGTAGACGTAAAGGCACGCATCAATTTTTATGCGCCCTGAAAATGTGACCACAAAACGTAAGCGCCTCTTTCTCCTCAATTTAGTGAAAGAAAATGGAAAGTCCACTTTTAAATTATGCTAAACCTGACTTTGGCACCTTCATGTAGGAGTATTAACTCACCCGAATGTGAACAAAGTAGAGGAAATTATCCACAGAGGCACTGTTTTTTTTTGCCCCTTCAAATTTACATACGCATGACTATTCATCCACTTCTAAAAAAACCAACGGGAAAAAAAAATAATAAATAAAAAAAATAAAAATAACAAAACAAAGCGATGCACTGCGACACGATGCTATCCTATACGAAGCCACGGGGAGAAAGAATTAAAAACGAAATTCACACAAGAACGATAGTATACATGCCTGCGATAGTGACACATAATTTACATTCGCTCCATTTTTAGCCCCGTCCGTAAGCTGGATAGCGAGCTTTTTTTTTTGTTTTTTCCCAGTCCTCGGTTAAGCCAAAGGGAAGGAAGATTTGCATATCAGAGTCTTTTTTAAAGACTCCGCTCGTTGAATGCGACGATTCAGAATACGTCAGCAGAGGAACGTGTTGAGCGAACCACTATTCGGTGGGCCCATGCACTTACGTGTGTGAAGTGCCCACGTGACTCACATGTAGCGGAGATACGCGAGAGTGCAACCCCACGGCACGCAAAAGGAAAAAATAAATTACAAAGAAACAGGGAGGGCAAAACGAAATAGAGCCAAACAGAAGAGGGCGGAACAAAAGAGCGCAAGCCGACTGCGAGCCACACCCAGGGAACCCCCCTCCCCTTGATACCATTTAACCGACGCAATCACCGGTCAATCAGCCTGCTTAAGTCAATATCTTAGCAAAGCCAATCAATAAGAAGCCACGCCCCCAACAGAGCGTGTGTATGCATTTTTACATCTCCCCGACTAACGTTGAAATAGAACGATCCGATTGGTTATCTCCCCTTCGCCCTCCCTTGGGTTCAATACAATCGCGACGGAGAGAGACATCGAGAAGTTTCCCTCCAGCAGTTGCTTACCCGGACGAAGTAGCCTTCGTCAACGTCATCACCCTGCTAAACACGTGAGCAGCTGTAGACGAATAACCCCCACTCCCCTCTGGCAAAAGGCACATAGCGACCACAATGGACATGAATTTTGGCTTCTGCAACGACGCCTTCTTCGAGCAGGGCAACAGATCGACGGATAAGGAAGACATAGAAGAACCGAAAAAGGGAGATTCAAACGATATAACCAAAAAAAACAACAACGAATTAGGAGAGGAAAAAGAGCTACCGAAAGAATTATGCGTCCCAGTTACGATCAAATTGTTACTGAACAAAATGATGAACCATGAAGAGTTTAAAATCCATGACTTTCAAATAAGTGGCATTATTGTCTTCGGAAAAGTATGCAAAATTAAGGAGTTGGCTAGCGCCATCATTTTTGAAATTTGTGATTACACTGGAAACATTGAAGCGAAATATAATAAGGACGCGAAAAATGAAAAAGTCAAAGATCATATAGAAAGCATAAAAATAAATGACCACATTAAGGTCGTAGGAGTGGTTTATTCCCCGGAGACGAAAACAGAGCAGGTACAAATAAGTATATCTTACATTAACAAGGTGGAAGATTGGGTCTCATACTTTTCCTACTTCACCTCTGAAGTGATATATTGCTACTTAAAGCTTCTGAAATTAAAAAACATTTACACGCCCAATGGGGTCAATAATGAGGATAAACCCTGGTCCCACGTAACTTTAGATACCTACTACAACCAGCTGGACGACATCGACACGGACATTATAAAATACTTACACACAACAAGTGAGAAGTATGCCAATCAACAGGACATCTTCGAACACCTCAAGAAGTATCACTCAGAAATGAACATAAAGAAGTCCCTCACGAAGCTTATTGAGCAGTACGATTTGGCCCAGTACGAGGATATCATAAGTATACCCTAAGTACACCCTAAGTACACCCTAAGTACACCCTAAGTTTTTTTCTTTGGGGGGAAGAAAGCCTACCACCGCTTACTATATAAACGCATCACGAGGAACTCACATAATGAGAGGGTTGCCTTTCCCCATCGAGGAAGCAACCACCTGTGATCCCTCCATGCATTTTTTTCTCGTACGCACATTGGTTAAAACACAAATTGCCGTCTTCAGAGGGCGACAGATGCAAACATCTGCCAATCGGATACTCGGAGTTGGAAAATTTTGACTGCTCCACGGCCTTTTCCCCAATGTAGGACGCTTCTCTATGCACACATGTATGGACTGATGTGAAAAATGAAAAAACATCCTCCCTTCTGCCCCCTCTCTTGGGAATACCAAACATTTGTGTCTGTCTCTTTTTTTACATTTTGAAGTGTTTACAGGAGAAATGCGTTACCCTGCATTTTGCGTAAAAAAAAAATAATAAGTAATAAATGATCGAACTGAACACGCAACGTCAAGTTACACGAACCTCATTTTCTTCTTTTTTAATTAAATCACACCTTTCGCTTAATTCAATGTAAAAAAAAGAGAAAATGGGTCTGCTTTTTTAAACTTTTACCTTGTTAAGAAGGGACGGCCACTTTAGGGTGCGGCCAGTGGCAAGCTCCCTTGCGAGGTCTACAAATTTAACGCGGGGTGTCCGCGTGGGGCGTCTCCATATATATGGTTCGAAAAAGGGTTGTTCCGCAAATGAAGTTAAAAGGGCTACGCTGCTGTACTGCTGCACCGCTTCGCGATTAAACAAACGAATTGGCAAATGACACTTGGGCGGGAAGTGGTTCAAACAAACAAATTGAAAGTGAATTATTAAAGAAGGATAGGCGGGCCGCGGGCACGGAGGCGCACCAAATTACGCGGCAACTTTTTTTTTCTTCTTTTTCCTATCGGACGCGATGCTCTGATAGAAGAAGTAACTGACGCCAGTAAAAACGATCACTATGCTGATCACAAAATAAATGGAAAAATATTTGTCACTCTCCAGGATAAACGGGAAGTCGTAAAAATATAAAACGACCAGAGTAAGCGGGGTTGATGATTTCAAAATTAAGAAGCACTCGGCGGAAGAGTACTTGCTGTAGAATGACGACACGCTTAAATTGAATATAGCGTTCACCACTATGTAGAGGCAATACACACCAAAGGAGTACTTACAATTGGAGTTATTCTCCATCGTGTGTCCTGAAAAGCACTGGATGCTGTCCTTGATGTATAGCAAATAAGAGACGTCCTTGTTCTTGTTAAACAAAAGCTGAAAATGTATTATCATTGGGAGCAAACAAATTTGGATTAGCGAAATGTTGAAAGATAGAAGTATGACGCTCATTTTGTCTGACGCGTTTCTTTCTTTCTTCGTTTTCTTCACTGTGTCACGTTTGGGAGTGACCTTCTCCACTTCGACGAGGCTGTGAAGCGGTTTGTTCTGCATAATATCGAGTACCCCGTTGGATGCACTCAATTCTCCACCTCGCTGCCCGCACACCGGGCAGGGAGACGTGAAATGGCCCTCGGTACTATCAACCCCCTCCACGATACGATTCGCGTGGGACACAGACACTCCGCTTAACACTTCATCAGGCCCCCCTTCGTGGCTTACACCTAACTCTTGCACATTTATCATGTACCCATTTGTAATGGCATCATTCGGTTTATTAAAAGGGGGATACTCAACGAGAGCTTCCTCCTCCTGATGGTCGTGCTTTCTCCCCTGTTTGTTACTCTCCCCCGAGGATGTTCTTTCTTCTGTCTCCATTTCGCAGAAGCCATTCTGTGATACCCCCAGCTCTGGAGCGCAGATGGCACTACACAATTGAGAGCATTTCCTTTTCTCCTTCCTTATGCTCACCACCTTCTGACGCTTCTCTCTTCCTTTTATATATTCGGAGAAAAATATTTCCCTGATCACCCCACCGTAGGATGTTAGCAAAATGGACAGCACACAAAAAATTATAGATGCGAATATACCAAACGGAGCTGCCAAACTGCACGTGGGTTCATTACATTCGTAGAATCTGCTAAAATAGCTAGCACTATCATGGAGTGCATCATTCACATGTATATAAAAGTGAGAGTTCATATAATAGCTGACCATAGTCTGCTTCGTAACAATTGTGTTCTCCTTGTACACGTAGGGAATGTAGAAGAAGAGAAAGCCCACTATGACGATAATGACTGACAACGCGTGATGAATGTTGTACTTCCTTTTTAAAATCAAGTACGATAATATAATGGAGAAAATAAAATTCAACTGATTCAGGAGCAGTAGGATGGTTAGTGGAATGGCTAGCTGGGACACAAAATACAGTGTGTTCGATATTATGTCAAATAAGGCTATGACGACTACATATTTGTATGCTCCTAAATTTCTCCACTTCTTCTTTACACTTGAATACACTCTATTCTCCGTTGTCTCTCTGCAGCGAAGGACATCCTCGTACGGTTTATCATGTTGGTAATGTTCTAGTATGTCCTTTATGTCTTGCTTACTAAATGGGTAGACTCCCTCCTCATCTGAGTTCTCCACAGTGGCATTACTGCAGCGACACCGAGTGTGCGTTTTTCCGTCATTCTGTTCTTTCTTTTCATGGAAGCGCGGCTCACTTGTGTTTAGTGCGCTGTGGCTGTCGAGGGTGTTGTCTTCCTCGGTTCGTGCATCTTTTCCCTGTCTTGACTTTGTACGTGGATTGGCTGCTCCACTTTGGGTGCCACTTTGCCCGGTACTTGGACGCACAGTGGGGATATCAATACGGCCACCCGCTCTGCTGCCACACCTGCTATGGCATTTGCTGGTATGTATGCTACCACTTATGCGACCCGTTATGCTGCCGCTTATACTGCCATTCCGCACCTCCACGTCTCCCTCGCTCTTCTCCAGCAGCGGCTCGTATATCCTCTTCTTGTGAATGTAGAACATCTTCATGATTTTCTTCTTCCTCTTGATTGCCTCTTGATCCCTCACATCAATGGTACAATCGCGCTGCTGCTTCGGTTGTTCCTTTCTCTTATCCATCTGTCTCGCATCAGCGCTTTTCTCCCTTTTCTTAAAATACCTTCTCAAGCACGGATATATATAAGACCAGTGTTCCTTGGTAATGCTCCTTGACTTACAGTATATAATGCAGAGCACTAAATAAATCGCCACGTAGGCTATAGCATTATAGGACGCAGTTAAGCTGTCAAAGTTGTTCAGCACTCGATTCCTCATCCTACCACATATGTTATTGCTGACCCCCAAAAATACAACTAAACACCCATTGAAAAAAATTAAGAAAAACTTCTTCACTTTGCTGCTGGTGGATGCGTGATTGGACTGCATCTCTTCTTCCTTGTCCATCTTTCTTCCCATGTGATTACTCCTGTTATAAAAGAAGTCATGATCTATATCAACATCTTGTGTGCATTGCTTACTGTTAATTTTCACATAATGCTTGTCACATTGTGTCTCATAAAATGTATTGCTATTTACACCTTCCATTTGTAGTACGTTGGAAGGGCTGTTTCTTTTTTGACATGATTTGTGTTTCTCATTAGGGTTTTGACTTTTTTCTATTCCTGGGTGGATTCCCTCCAAGGGGCAATCATCATTCTGCATATTCACCCGGTGAATCTTCACGGCTGGGGTTTTGTTCTTATTTCCAACAATGTCGCTGCTTTTGCTTCCCGTTCGTTCCCAGTACTTGGCCCCTTTTTTTTTACCCCCCTGGTGATCCCTCTCTTCCTTTCTTCTCTCCAAGTATTTCTCGTTAAAAATCTGGGCCGTGGATTGAAATTTCTCCCTTTTAATTTTTTTTAAAAAATTGATAAGAGAAGCATTTTTGTACTCCCACAGTTTTGGAACAATATCTTCGTACCTCTCTCCCTTGTTTTTTTTATTCCCAGCACGTGCTCCTTTTTTTTTTTTTTTAAAGGCTGCTTCGCTTGTTTCCTTTTCGGGTGTTCGTTCACCTGTTCGGGGGGTATCTTCTTCCGCGCAAAATGTGTTTACGCTTTTTTGAGCATTCGCTACTGTTTTTGTTACTTCCTCATCGCGTATTTTACTTGCGCTTTTTTCTACAGAAATAGTGTTTCTTTCGTCATCAGGCTTGTTTGCCTTTTTTTCTTTCCTCTTAAAGGCGAATATTTTGCTCCCTCCTTCGTGATGGTTATGTTGTTCCCCTGTTTGTGGCTCCTGGCATGCCACTCGTTCAGCTTGCACTTGGTTGGCACAATTTTTATTTTTTTTTTTCGCCTCCAACGGGGATCTCAGTCTAGGGGTTATTTTCAGTTGGAGTTCCTTTCCCTGCATAATGCAACTCTTTTTTTTTGCTCCACTTGAGAAAGCAAAATTGCCAATCGTTTGGCAGTTTTTTCCTTCTGATTTCTCCCGCAAAGGATTATTTGGCTCACCTGAATCACTTGGCATATTTTCCTTATTTGGCTTATTTTCCATCTTTCCCCTAATTCGTTTACTTCCTCTTGTGTAAACATTTTAGGAAGGTACAGATCCCCCTCCTTTTGCTTTTCCCGTTTATGTAAACTTTTCTCAGCTTACACTTTTTTTTTTTTTTTTTTTTTGAAAATTATGTTCATGTGAAATTTTGGCTAGTTGATACTCCCTCCCCTGAATTGCCTTATCGTCTTTTCATTTTAGCTGCTATCCTGCTGGATATGAAAAGGAAGCAAAAGTGATCATTCTCTTGACTAAAAAATGGAAATGCGTGGTGTTGTCTCGAAGGGAGCATTTGACCATCCAGCAGGCCCGTTGCCCTCGCGTTGCCTGCGCGCATCGTTAACGCGGTTTTGTGACCAACTGTAGGGCAAAAAAAAAAACGCGGAAAATACGAAGTGGCCAAAATAGTAAGCCCTCGTGGCATACACTTCGTGTGCAGATTTGCCAAAGCGAATGTAGCCCCAAAGAGCGCAAGCAAAATTGCTCTTCCAAATTTTGAAACAGAAATGCCAAGTTAGCTTCTCTCCCGCATTATGCGTAAAAAGGGGGGGAAATTTAAATTTCTTTTTCAATTTTTTCGCATTCCTGATCAGTAAAAAAAGAATTAACGGGCGATCAGATCGTAACATAAGTGTCATCCACACCATGGAATACGACAGACATGTATACTCCACATGCAGTTACGCGCTAAGGGACTTGTACACAGAATTGCGAAAGAGCAATAGATATTCTGCTCCCCTTGCTCTGTACCTTTTTCTCATCATGCCAAATTGGAGATCATAAAAAAAAA